TTCTAATAACCCTTACATGGAATTACAGCAACTGTGTACTAATAGCCCTTACATGGGATTACAGCAACCGTGTTCTAATAACCCTTACATGGGATTACAACAACCGTGTACTAATAACCCTCACACGGGATTACAACAATCGTGAACTAATAACCCGTACATGGGATTAAAGCAACATCGTACTAATAACCCTTACATGGGATTACAGCAACCGTGTACTAATAACCCTTACACGGGATTACAACAACCGTGTATTAATAACCCTTACATGAAATTACAGCAACTGTGTACTAATAACCCGTACATGGAATTACAGCAACCGTGTACTAATAACCCTTACATGGAATTACAACAACCGTGTACTAATAACCCTTACACGGGATAACAACAACCGTGTTCTAATAACCCTTACATGGAATTACAGCAACTGTGTACTAATAGCCCTTACATGGGATTACAGCAACCGTGTTCTAATAACCCTTACATGGGATTACAACAACCGTGTACTAATAACCCTTACACGGGATTACAACAACCGTGTACTAATAACCCGTACATGGGATTAAAGCAACCGTGTACGAATAACCCTTACATGGGATTACAGCAACCGTGTACTAATAACCCTTACACGGGATTACAACAACCGTGATCTAATAACCCTTATACGGGATTACAGCAACCGTGTACTAATAACCCTTACACGGGATTACAACAACCGTGTACTAATAACCCTTACATGGAATTACAGCAACCGTGTACTAATAACCCTTACATGGAATTACAACAACCGTGTACTAATAACCCTTACACGGGATTACAACAACCGTGTTCTAATAACCCTTATACGGGATTACAGCAACCATGTACTAATAACCCTTACACGGGATTACAACAACCGTGTATTAATAACCCTTACATGGAATTACAGCAACTGTCTACTAATAACCCTTACATGGGATTACAGCAACCGTGTTCTTTTAACCCTTACATGGGATTACAACAACCGTGTACTAATAACCCTTACACGGGATTACAACAACCGTGTACTAATAACCCGTACATGGGATTAAAGCAACCGTGTACTAATAACCCTAACATGGAATTACAGCAACGTATACTAATAACCCTTACATGGAATTACAGAATCCGTGTACTAATAACCATTACATAGGATTACAGCAACGTATACTAATAACCCGTACATGGGATTACAGCAACCGTGTACTAACAACCCTTACATGGGATTACAGCAACCGTGTACTAATAACCCGTACATGGGATTACAGCAACCGTGTACTAATAACCCTTACATGGGATTACGTCAACCGTGTACTAATAACCCTTACATGGGATTACAGCAACGTATACTAATAACCCTTACATGGGATTACAGCAACGTATACTAATAACCCTTACATGGGATTACAGCAACCGTGTACTAATAACCCGTACGTGGGATTACAGCAACCGTGTACTAATAACCCTTACATGGGATTACAGCAACCGTGTTCTAATAACCCTTACATGGGATTACAACAACCGTGTACTAATAACCCTCACACGGGATTACAACAATCGTGAACTAATAACCCGTACATGGGATTAAAGCAACATCGTACTAATAACCCTTACATGGGATTACAGCAACCGTGTACTAATAACCCTTACACGGGATTACAACAACCGTGTATTAATAACCCTTACATGAAATTACAGCAACTGTGTACTAATAACCCGTACATGGAATTACAGCAACCGTGTACTAATAACCCTTACATGGAATTACAACAACCGTGTACTAATAACCCTTACACGGGATAACAACAACCGTGTTCTAATAACCCTTACATGGAATTACAGCAACTGTGTACTAATAGCCCTTACATGGGATTACAGCAACCGTGTTCTAATAACCCTTACATGGGATTACAACAACCGTGTACTAATAACCCTTACACGGGATTACAACAACCGTGTACTAATAACCCGTACATGGGATTAAAGCAACCGTGTACGAATAACCCTTACATGGGATTACAGCAACCGTGTACTAATAACCCTTACACGGGATTACAACAACCGTGATCTAATAACCCTTATACGGGATTACAGCAACCGTGTACTAATAACCCTTACACGGGATTACAACAACCGTGTACTAATAACCCTTACATGGAATTACAGCAACCGTGTACTAATAACCCTTACATGGAATTACAACAACCGTGTACTAATAACCCTTACACGGGATTACAACAACCGTGTTCTAATAACCCTTATACGGGATTACAGCAACCATGTACTAATAACCCTTACACGGGATTACAACAACCGTGTATTAATAACCCTTACATGGAATTACAGCAACTGTCTACTAATAACCCTTACATGGGATTACAGCAACCGTGTTCTTTTAACCCTTACATGGGATTACAACAACCGTGTACTAATAACCCTTACACGGGATTACAACAACCGTGTACTAATAACCCGTACATGGGATTAAAGCAACCGTGTACTAATAACCCTAACATGGAATTACAGCAACGTATACTTATAACCCTTACATGGAATTACAGAATCCGTGTACTAATAACCATTACATAGGATTACAGCAACGTATACTAATAACCCGTACATGGGATTACAGCAACCGTGTACTAACAACCCTTACATGGGATTACAGCAACCGTGTACTAATAACCCGTACATGGGATTACAGCAACCGTGTACTAATAACCCTTACATGGGATTACGTCAACCGTGTACTAATAACCCTTACATGGGATTACAGCAACGTATACTAATAACCCTTACATGGGATTACAGCAACGTATACTAATAACCCTTACATGGGATTACAGCAACCGTGTACTAATAACCCGTACGTGGGATTACAGCAACCGTGTACTAATAACCCTTACATGGGATTACAGCAACCGTGTACTAATAACCCTTACATGGGATTACAGCAACGTATACTAATAACCCGTACATGGGATTACAGCAACCGTGTACTAATAACCCGTACATGGGATTACAGCAACCGTGTCCTAATAACCCTTACATGGGATTACAGCAACCGTGTACTAATAACCCTTACATGGGATTACAGCAACGTATACTAATAACCCGTACATGGGATTACAGCAACCGTGTACTAATAACCCGTACATGGGATTACAGCAACCGTGCACTAATAACCCGTACATGGGATTACAGCAACCGTGTACTAATAACCCGTACATGGGATTACAGCAACCGTGTACTAACAACCCTTACATGGGATTACAGCAACCGTGTACTAATAACCCTTACATGGGATTACGTCAACCGTGTACTAATAACCCTTACATGGGATTACAGCAACGTATACTAATAACCCTTACATGGGATTACAGCAACGTATACTAATAACCCTTACATGGGATTACAGCAACGTATACTAATAACCCTTACATGGGATTACAGCAACCGTGTACTAATAACCCGTACGTGGGATTACAGCAACCGTGTACTAATAACCCTTACATGGGATTACAGCAACCGTGTACTAATAACCCTTACATGGGATTACAGCAACGTATACTAATAACCCGTACATGGGATTACAGCAACCGTGTACTAATAACCCGTACATGGGATTACAGCAACCGTGTCCTAATAACCCTTACATGGGATTACAGCAACCGTGTACTAATAACCCTTACATGGGATTACAGCAACGTATACTAATAACCCGTACATGGGATTACAGCAACCGTGTACTAATAACCCGTACATGGGATTACAGCAACCGTGCACTAATAACCCGTACATGGGATTACAGCAACCGTGTACTAATAACCCTCACATGGGATTACAGCAACGTATACTAATAACCCTTACATGGGATTACAGCAACCGTGTACTAATAAATTACCCTTACATGAAATTACATGTACTAATAACCCTTACATAGGATTAGTGAACTTGTTTTATCTAATAGTAATTTATATCATCATGAACTTTGGCAAAGTATTAGGTGTACCCTTGTAAATATAGATAATGTCGTATATATACATCCTAGGCTATATGGGTCTATATATATATTACTTTATTACTATTAAATAAGTAAAAAAATATTCAGCATACGGCAGATCTATATTCTAATTCATTTCAAATACATAACAATATAACTGTTAAATGAGAATTTTTTTCTCTAAAAATACAAACTAGAAAGAAACAAATATAAATATGGAGAAAATGGACTGTGCTCATATTTTAATAAAACGATTAAAGATTAAATTCATTAATTTAATCTGTTGTGTTTCAAAAATTCGACTATTATATATATACTGTTCTGAACGAATGACCTCGAATTCTGGTAACTGATTACAATTCCAAAATCAAAACCCTGTTTGGGAAGGAAAGTGGAAATTTTAAGCACAACTAATTCCATACAACCGGGAAAATTATTTTAGTTTGGATATTTTGTTTCATATTCTCTGTTCCCTTTTCTTCATTACATGTAAATATGTATTTCTAAATGAAATGATAAAGATAATGCCACTTGACGGAAGAGACCTCAGTGACTGGTATTATGTAGTACAAATATAACAAAAGTGTTATAACACAATTAACACACAAGTAATGATATACGATATCCGTGTACACTACAAAGGTAAATCTACAAAAATACTATCAAATTTCACAACACAAATTAGCACAGTGTATGTTTGAATTATTTTTTATTTTGTTTCCGATTTGCTATATTGTACCACTTGAATGAAAGTTAAAAATAACACAAAAAACACTGAAATTAAAACAATAACAGGTTAAGATATGGGTCGAACAACTTATCAAATTTTAGATGACCGATAATATGTTACACTTATATCCCTTATCACAAAAGATTACTGGTATTGTTTTGTTTTTAAGTAACACGTGAAAATATTAGAATGTTAAAAGAAAGGACGATTACAAAATATATGTAAATATATAAAAGTTGTGCTACTCACCACGCGTTGACATCTTTTTCATGCAATGTACTAACAGCCCGACTGAACTACCGAATAACGCTGATTTAACTCGGTCAATGTTTACCACCGAGCATTTATCAGGGGTTAATATATCAGTCTGATAGTTATAAATATATAGTTTTTGACGAGATAAATAGAAATGTTCTAATTTCTAACTCCATAGATAGAAATGGTTATATATTATTATGATGTAAACCATGAGGCAATATTTAAAGTTAACAAACAGGATTAAATATGCGAGATGTAAAGGGATAATTTCGTGCAACGTGTTGGCGATTGTTATTCATATGTTCACGTTATTGAAGCTCATTATTCAGTGTTTTCTACAAATTGCAAATTGGGGGGAAAGTAACGCGTAAGCTATATATTTTTTTTATATTCGTTTATCGTATTTCCCGTTTGTCTGTGCACATATCCCCCTTTTTACTACCCCCTTTAATTGATTGATTGTTGGTTGCTTAACGTCCAGTGGCAACTATTTTATGCGTGTTCAGGATGATACCCTCTTTAAATATGGGATAAGCTTGTCAATGAATATAAACACGACGGGCGTCAGATAACCAAAATCGCCAACATTGTGACTGACCCTTTTAGTTAAGATAAATCGTTTTCTTCAAATCTGAAATAAAATTTAACATTAGTTCAGAAATAAATGTGTGTAAAAGACTCCAATGGACCGTAGCTGATTAATTGTATGTTATTGTAATACCTTTACATGATTTAGGCAGCCAATCTTTCAAACACTGCCCGGGACTAGCATGACAGTTTCGAACAAGCAAGTTTTTTTTGTCACATTTTTTTATCGTTTATTCCCCGATATCAATAAACGGCAGTACACATTGTATGAATTTGCTCATTGCTTTAAACAATCAACGATGGACATACCAAAATCTTGGCAAAATATTATAAGCTTAATCTTCTTCCTTTCCCCTTATAATCACAACACATCAAATGACAAGACGGTCATTCGTCATTTCGAGAAAAATTATCGTGAAAGGATAAGCAACTATATATGGTCAAATTAATGCGATTAGATCGGTAAGGTCAAATATTGGATCGTGAAAGAAATCTTTATCGATAGGACACATGCAATGTGGGTAGGACAAATAATGGGGAAAAATCAAACTGTCTGTCAAAATGATCAGTATCTAAAAATATCAAAGTTTAGAGCTAATTTCTTAATGCTTGTAGAGTAAGACTTTAGTTGGTTTGCTTGCTTTGTTTTCTCAAGCATTGTAATTAAAATTGACATCTGCAAACAATATAGATAGGAGTTAAACCTGTTTACATGTAAAATTGAATGTTCCTAACCTCCAGGATAACTTCCAATCAAATTTAAGTATAATGTATACAGGTTTAACTCCGCCTATCTATATTGTTTGCAGATGTCAATCTTAATTACAATGCTTGAGCAAACGTTTATTTAAACAAATCAAGCAAGCCAACCAAAGTGTTACTCTACAAGCATTAGGAAATTAGCTTTAAAACTGCACCGGTTTTACATAGCCAAAGGAAGATTGCTCATCAGCATATTAATGACACAAAATTGATACTAGTAACAAACATGAATGAATGACTTAAATACTATTCTCCGAACAAGGTCGTTCTATGTTACTGTTTCAAATGGTTGTTAAAATAATTTTGTAGTAGCTTAATCACAAAGATTGAAAAATTAAATATTTATAGAAAAAAAAATGATATTTCTGATCGTGAAAGATCGGGTACCGCTTTTTGATGACCATGAAAAGAATCCTGAAAGATCCGGTACGCTTATTTTTTTTGCCAAATCCAATCATTATGTAATTATATGATAATTGATCATTGTAATTGGTATAGAAAAAGACGATCATTGCATTATTTATTCCGGTTCACTTTTGTTGGGGAATAGGGCTATGATGGTTTAATGTCATTAGATCTGGTTCTTTAATAAGGCTACGCCAACTAGTAGCTGATGCCCTAAACAGTCTATCTTTACATCCATCAAAATGTTTATGTCGTTTGATAAGGAATGATTGCTGCATCTTATTTCACTCAATTGTATGCTCAGCGTGTATATCTTAAAAAGGAAGGTCCGAGTCGATTTTTGTAAAAATTGGAAAAAAATACATTGTAGTTTTAAAAATCACTTAAATCTTTTAAATTCATAAATTTTGAGAAATATGTTTTTTTTGTTAGGATTTCGATGAAAAATGATATGTAGGTATAATATGTTATTCGTAGAATAATTCCAAGGATGTCAAATTTTCGGCATCTGAAAATTTGGAAAAAGTGCGTCAAAACATTTAAGTTTTTCTCTAAATAAGAATATGAAAAACATCGTTATAGTCCCTTTCGTGCCTTCGAACTCTTTTTTGAACCTGAACAAATCAGAAACCTTTTGAACATGCAAATATAAAAGGTATTGAACCCCATCAAATTTGAAAGCTATTGAACCTAAACAAATCAGAAATGTATTGAACCCAAACGAATCAAAAAGCTACTAACAAATCTGATAGCTATTGAAACTTAACATATCAGAAAGTTATTGAACCTAAACGAATCAGAAAGCTATTGAACCTAAACGAATCAGAAAGCTATTGAAACTAAACAAATAAGAAATTATTTGGAACTAAACAAAATTGAAAGGTATTGAATGTAAACAAATCAGAAAGATATTGAACCTAACCAAAATCAGAAACCTATTAAACCTAAACAAATCAGAAAGATATTGAACCTATAAACAAATCAGAAAGTTATTCTACATAAACAAATCAGAAAGATATTGTACCTAAACAAATCAGAACGTTATTGTACCTAGACAAATCAGAAAGATATTGTACCTAAACAAATCAGAAAGTTATTGTACCTAAACAAATCAGAAAGTAATTGTACCTAAACAAATCAGAAAGTTTCTGAACCTAAACAAATCAGAAAGTTATTGAACCTAAACAAATCAGAACGTTATTGTACCTAAACAAATCAGAAAGTTATTGAACCTAAACTAATCAGAAAGTTATTGTACCTAAACAAATGAGAAAGTTATTGTACCTAAACAAATCAGGAAGTTATTGAACCTAAACAAATCAGAAAGTTATTGAACCTTAACAAATCAGAAAGTATTTGTACCTAAACAAATCAGAAAGTAGTTGTACCTAAACAAATCAGAAAGGTATTGTACCTAAACAAATCAGAAAGTTATTGTACCTAAATAAATCTGAAAACTATCAAACGTAGACTAATCAGAAAGATATTGAATCTAAACAAAACATTCCACCTACTAAATTTATGGCATGTTGATATGTATGCAACTTTTTTTATTTAAAAGACATCTATACGGTCTGGGATTTTCTCATTGTTGAAGGCCGTACGGTTGCCTATAGTTGCTTACATCCACTTTATTTGAACTTTGGTGGGTGGTTGTCTCATTGGCAATCATACCTCATCTCCTTATTTTTATATAATATCTTGTTAGGAAGATCGAAGGGAAAAGAAACTCTGTCCATTTTCAGTGTTATGAAGAAACATATATACGTTTACAAAAAAAGCAAGAATCATTTTTTAAGTCGACGGGAATATAGTCAAAACAAATGTAACTGTTGTGTTTTATTCAAATATACTGACAAATAAATTTACTTGAGAATCTACGTGGACGTGCGAGCAACCGTCACTGCTATATCCCCTAGTTTTGCGTTGCAGTGGGGAGCAACAAATGAACCATGATTGTTCAATTTTAAGTCAAATAGTTTTTATAAATGAAGACCGATTTAAGACTGTTATTAATAACTAATAGTTCATTCGTAGTGTGATTGTAGGCAAGTCCTTGCGGGCTATATATTCCATCTTTGACCGTCAAAATAACTTCTCCATGGCCATCACTTGATATCATGTGGATCGTATTAGAATCATTACCCGCCACGTAGACATTGTCTTTGCTGTCTATGGCAATACCATATGGATATTTTAGTTCAGGGCTGCTGTAAAACATTTCTTTACTTCCGTCGCCATGTACTCTGTATATCATTTCGTCATATAAACTTGTATAATACAATGTATCCGAACAAAGAGAATGACAAAAGTCCCACATAGGAATTGTTATTTTCTTTGTCGTCAAAGTTTTTCCATTCACATCAACCTTGTGTAGGGTATTTTTATCTTTCTGAATCCATATATCATCATTCACACAATGCATAAATCTTACAAAGTCAGATCTAATAGGTTCTACTAACTGTAAAGTTGATGTGTCAATAACTTCAATGCCGAAAAATCCACTAACAAAGGCTTGATTTATACCAATTGCTACTGAGACGTCAGATGGTTTATCGTCGAACGTAAACCTTTTCAAAATACTCCCATTTGCTTTACATACGTATACAGACTTATTTTTTTCGTCAGATATAAGCAGTTTGTTTTTGGGAAGAAAGCACGCTCTTTCAAAGCGGATGTCAGTACCCAGCTCAGAGGCATTAAAGGAATTCAATAGTTTAATTCTAGACCTAATCCTCATTCTTTTGCTTAACAAGGACGGATTTTGCTCGTCATTTCTGTCTTCAAGGGAGGTTTTTTCACTTGCTCTTTTCATTGCGTTTCTTGTATCCAGATCCAAACTTCTTGTTGATATTTATCCCTATTATTTTTTTAAGATAAACATATGTATGTCACCGTGTTGCTGACCTGTAAAATCATATGGAGAACATGAATATAAAACTCTTATTGTTCAAAATAAGCCGTTAACACATATCAAAATAAATTTAAGAATTATTAAAAGCTTCTTTTTGTTAACGTCTCCTCGGAGACGTTATAATGCTGCGTTCACATGTAATTCGAAAGAGCGTGTGAACGCGATTAGCGAATTCGAATCGCATTCAATTCGAATTCAATTCGAATTAATGCTGCGTTCACACGTAATTCGAATTCGATTCGCATTAACTGATTCGAATTAGTTTAATTCGCATTCGAAACGTTTAACGTCCAAACGTAAATTCTAATGCGAATTGCAATGCGCGTCAAATTCGCTTTACTGTCCTAACGACGTTAACTTTTAATTCGTATTAACAAAAACGCATTTCTAGTGCGAATTGGATAATGCGATTTAGCCAATTCGAATCAATTCGAATTAAAAAAGAAGAGTGTGTGAACGCGATTAGCGAATTCGATTCGAATTCAATTCGAATTAAATGTACGTGTGAACGAGGCATTAATGTACGTGTGAACGAGGCATAAGAATTAAACGATGGACAGTCAGTGCGTGAATGCCTCTTACTACCTGATTGGAAGATATTACGAGACGTGAATAATCAAAGTTTGTTGATTGGTTAGGACAATCCAAACATAGTAAATGTCTTTCAATCCGTAGAGTATCGGATTTGTCCTCTCTATTTTAGCAATTAGATTTGCCTGGTCATTTATCATGCATATTCATGAGATAGATACACAGGTAACTTTTATCTATAAATAGCCGAATCTTCTAGAGTTTTGTAAACACACACAACGTTAAACGATATACTACTTCATAACGTGTGACCTCACGTGAGTGGTAAAATTTGTTGATTGATATGCAAGACTATTCTGAATGAATTAATCTACAAAGCGAGAACACTTTCCATTTTCATCAGCTAAGAGACGGCTAGCCTTTTTTTGAAAAGCTATTACTTGTAATTTTATTGGGGTGCAAAAGCGTTGACCGAGGCACATGTTTTAAGAAGCACGATCCAACTCTATAAAACTACAAAAATAATTCAAATCTTAAAATTTAATTACATTTTTAAATTTTTGCCGTGAAATTTTTTTGTTTTTATATGCATTGCTTTAACGTTTTCACGGAGAGCACGTACAATCATAGATGCTGCATTTTATCAGAAATTAAAACATTAATTTTGGAATGCCTTGGACAATCAAAACTACAGAACCTTATATGTAATTGATTTAATTATAATAATTCATTCCACTGACCGGGTGTGGTTACAAATGCTTTGTAATTTGCTAATAGTCATTGAGTGATCTTTCAGAATGAAACTAGAAGAACTGCGAGCCTAATTACTCACAATAAAGCAATGAACATGTCTTTGATTTACTGAAATCACAAAATAATTCAAAATAAAAAAACAAAATACGAGGTTAGCAATGTAAGTATATGGTTAAAAATCTGAGAAAGTTATAATAAATTTGAATTAGATTTAGGAGGATTTACGGATATTAATTGGGCAAAGGATACAGCGAAGGCAAACCAATGATTCGTTGGGGTAACCCTCAAAATAATTTAGATCCGATAGAAAAATAGGAGCCGCAGAATGGCATTGAATGGAAAGATTCTAATACAAAATATTAAATTCTGATTTAAGGTCAACTTAGAAGAGAAGCGGATACAAATGTGTACTGTAGTGTGTGGACATAACAAAGTTATCATGTAATAACAAAGTTATCCTGTAATGACAAAGTTATCCTGTAATGACAAAGTTATCCTGTAATGACAAAGTTATCCTGTAATGACAAAGTTATCCTGACATGACAAAGTTATCCTGTAATGGCAAAGTTATCCTGTAATGACAAAGTTATACATAACAAAGTTATCCTGTAATGACAAAGTTATCCTGTAACGACAAAGTTATCCAGTAATGACAAAGTTATCCTGTAATGACAAAGTTATCCTGACATGACAAAGTTATCCTGTAATGGCAAAGTTATCCTGTAATGACAAAGTTATACATAACAAAGTTATCCTGTAATGACAAAGTTATCCTGTAACGACAAAGTTATCCAGTAATGACAAAGTTATCCTGTAATGACAAAGTTATCCTGACATGACAAAGTTATCCTGTAATGGCAAAGTTATCCTGTAATGACAAAGTTATCATGTTATGACAAAGCTAACCTGTAATGACAAAGTTATCCTGTTAATATAAAGTTATCCTGACATGACAAATTTATCCTGTAATGACAGAGTTATCCTGTAGCGACAAAGTTATCATGTAATGCCAAAGTTATCCTGTAATGACAACGAAAGTTATCCTGTAATGACAAAGCATGCCAAGAAATTGCCTCCGTTGAAATTTTTCAAACGTCCCATAAAGCAAATTACACGGATGATTAATATTGACCATTTGGTATATGGCTGTGTTCTAAGCGACACGTTTATGCAGGTCACAAATTAATTTGTTGAATGAAATCAAATCTTTAACTACTAATGGGTGCCGTAGGAGGATTTCTTGGTATGTAACAGATAGAAAAACTCAGGGTTAGAATTCATAGAACAGACAAGGGGCAGTGGCAAATATTTCATATATAGTTTGAACACAAAGAGGATTACCCAGACACCCTTTGCAAAAAAAAACGAACTGTTTCTTCTTTGTGCCTTCGGACCTTTATGTTTTGAATTATAGTTTCACTTTCCATATTCGGTATTTATTCTAATGTAAGCTCCACGTGGTAAAAAACACGTGGTGAAGGAATATATTATCTTGGAGTTAGGCTATTTCCTTCTTTTAGGCGGGGACTCCAAGCAGACAACATGCATGTGTATAACGGAACTGTAGATTTTCTTATTAAATAAAGAGAGTTGCCGGTCCGGTACATGAATAGATCGGTTAGAAAGCAAGGTTTTGATTTTTTATTAGATTGATAAGCTTAAATCGAGGGTTCAAAATGCAGAACGCCGAAAAGGGGGGGGGGGTTCACAGGGAATAATTTTATTTATGAGCTCTACATTTGAAAGGTTTTTTTTTTTAATTCAATTAAAAGAGAGAAAAAAATGTTAAACAAATTGTGAATGGTCTTTCTTCTTTTCTCCCATGCCAAGAAATTGCCTCCGTTGAAATTTTGCAAACATCCCATAGAGAAAATTACACGGATGATTAATATTGACCATTTGGTATATGGCTGTGTTCTAAGCGACACGTATATGCAGGTCATAAATTAATTTGTTGAATGAAATCAAATCTTTAACTACTAATGGGTGCCGTAGGAAGTCGACCGGAATTTTTAGCGAGAATTTCTTGGCATGGTTAAAAAAATGAAAACAACACGTTTAATAATTTATTGCGTCCGAAGACCTGATGACCTGTAATGACAAAGTTATCCTGTAATGACAAAGTTATCCTGAAATGACAAAGTTATCCTGTAAGAAAGATTCTGTTAAAATTTCAAAAACAATCTGTTAAGCAGTTTGGGAGCAGAGGCGGATACAAAAGTGGGACGAATGGACGAACAGGCGGACAACCCCATATTATACCGCACTTTTCACAAGGCGGAAGGGATACCCGAAGAATTGACTGGGGAATAAAAATAAAGGTATCCCTTGATCTTCTTCCAACCGGTAGTAAAACGCTTGCCAAAGTGATGGCATCCGTGTGGCTGTGCGTAATGTAGAAATTTGCAGCCACGTCCGGTCAGATTGGGGAAGTTAAATCCGATGTTTCGTGTTGAGAGAGTGTGCTACGCTCTCTGCACATTAAAAAACCTTACAACATCTCTTTCAGGGGTCCGTAGGTTGCCTATTGCAAGGATAATTGTCTGTCATTTTCCAGTAGCATTCCAAATTTACTGCCAATCATCTCAGTCGACTTCCTATTGCAGGACCTAACTATTGTGTTTATTGTTAATGTGTTCTCGTCCTGAACATGCATGACATGTTTGCCACTGGACGTAAAGCAAACAACAATCAATCAATCAAAACATAAAGTGGGGAGTATAATGATATATTATTTTTGCATTTGAAGTTACTTTACGGCAATTTAGAGGGTGCTCTCCAAATATTTTGTGTATGTAATATTTATTTGGCTTCAGAACATTTTGAAGCCCGATACCCTTTTTAACATAAATCCCTGGATATGTCGTTGCAGATGTGGATTGATTGAGTGTCGCTTGTTTAAGTTTGATACATACCAGGCCGAGACAAGGAGTATATTTAAAATTTTGCTCATTCAACGTTTCCAACTCAGCAATAGAAAATTTGATTGGAAATTCTAAATAACATCCTGCAATTTATATGTGTTACTTTCTATGTTTTGAAACTTGTACAATGTTATAATTCTTATATGATTTGCATAAATACTTGAAACGGATTGGTCAGTTAGAATTTTTTCCCTTGGTTTACACTTCGATAAACTACTTTCATAGCCTTCACTGTTGTCTATTCATACGCGATACACATGCATTCAGGGATCCGATCTCCGTTACTTGTACGCCTCAAATTCGGATAATATCTCAATAAAATGAAGTTTTTGAGGTAGTTGCTATTTCATTTTAGATTCTGTTGCATTTATCGAACATTTACGACTTTTAGAAAGCGCTTACTCACAAACGAAACATAGCCTCGGTTTACACATCAATGAGCACTAGAAATTGTGTTTAATCCTATAATGAAATTGTGTATCTATCTTTCTTTTGTTGCCGTAGTATACAAATCTGTTCATGGAAAACGATGTAATAGACAAGCCTGATGCAGTTGTGTAACCTGCAGATCAAAAATATATAAACAGAGGTTGAAATGTATATTTACTTTCAAACATACCTGTCGTGCTTCAAATTAAAACTTGCTTACGTCTACAACTTCGTTCTAAATATAACTATTATTTATTTAAAAACCAATATCCATAATGAATCGATATTCACATTAAAGTAACGGGTGCGATACAGGGTATATACCCGTTGACGTGATAATGATCATTCAATCTCCCGATGTTTCCGTTTTTCTAATGCAGAGACGTGGAATATAATCAGAAAAAAAAATTGAAAATGTGACTTACAAAACAAACAAAAAATGAGGTAACATTTGGGTAAATATAATTTCATGATTTAAAGAGTTTTCTTTGAAATAAGCACAGAACATATACGTGTTTTGTCACTTATTTCTAAATGCACAATGAAACTGCCAAATCTGGAAAATGTCAGTAGAGAACCATATAAAACTGTCCATTTTTGGTCGGCAAAATTAATCAATTTGGGGGCATGCAATACATTAGTTTAATTAAGTTTTGAAATTTGAAAAAAAAAAAAATGCAGACAGGTTTTTGTGCACGTTAAACTGACAACATCAATGTATGTTACGGCAATGCATTTGAAATGTATGGATAGGGGGATACTTTTGAGAATGATGGATCGGGAGAGTAGTCTTAAAAATGTATTAATCGGGATAAAAGTCTTGAAAATGTATGGATTGGGGGATGCTGGAAAATGTATGGATCGGGGGGTAGTCTGGGAAATGTATAGATCGGAGGATAATGTAGAAAATGTATGCATCGGAGGAAAAGTCTGAAAATGTATGGATCGGCAGGATAGTCGGGGAAAATGTCTGCATCAGGGGAATAGCCTGGAAAATATATATGGATCGGGAGACAAGTCTGGAAAGAGTTCATTATATTGCATTACAACAGGGCATTTGCTGACGCATCCAAACAATTGTTTACATGGTTTTGTTATGCTTAAAGCTACTATAGCTAAGTCTTATCCACATTGGGCATTGGATTTAACGTCACCATATTGACCAAACCTAGCTGCGAGTATATGCAAAACTAATTGTGTCAACTGGATTAAACTGTTAAGTTACATATAGTTTGCGATTTTGTTCTAAATAGTCTAAATATACATATCAATTCATTCCCCAGTTTATTTCCACCACAAGTTTTATGTCATGTGATCATCTTCAGTAGCGGATCCAGGATTTTTGAAAGGGGGCGTACATTGCATAAAATTTTGACTTGGATGGAGAGTTGTCTCATTGGCACTCATACCACATCTTCTTATTTCTATGTACATGTACTGCCGAGCGACGATATTTTGCCAGAAAAATATAAATTTTCCAATCAAAATGGGGCGACCAATGCCCTCTACGCCCCCTCTCGAATCCGCCACTGACCTTCACCTTCATATACCTTTTAACACTAAATAGTTTTGCTTGATGTAATTTGTCGTTTTTAGACTAGTGAATAGTTTTTTTTATAACATTATCAGTATTATTATTATCATTATTTCAACTTGAGATTTTTCATACCCAAAATATTGCGATATGTCAATGTCTAATACATTTATTATTTTTGTATTCCCTTTGCATAATTTACATTATACACGATTAGATTTATTCACAATATTTCCAATGTATGATATTAATATCATATCACAAGTATGATTATGATACATGTAATATTGCAAAATCGATATAAATTGCTCTGTTCACTTATACATTTATTCGATGCTAACCGATATGTAATTATAAAAAAAAATGTATTAGATATCTATGTGTTAAAAGTAATTAGGTAGACTATCACATTTAATTTATACAATTTAGGTAGTATGGGTCTTAGAACGTGCACTAAAAAGGTACAACGAAACAACATTAAAGTATATAACGTCAACATTGTATGTGTAATCCCTCGGAACAAGCTAAATTTAAAGCAATTTATGTGTAAATATCGCAGTGTACTTTAGGCCGAAATCGAAGGCATCAATTGACTTCTACCTGAAGAAATTCAATGCCATAGAGATATTAAAAATTTTCCGGAATCGCGTGTCAGACCCGAACAGAACATTCTTGGTCTAATGAATGTTTTTTTTTAGTTTTAACTATTTTATTTTATAGTTTCCTTTCATAGTCCCCAATTCGTGACCTTCAGACCCGCAGAACGGAGTCACTTTGTACCATATTGATAAAATTGATAAAATGAAACCGAAATAAAAATATATTCGAAAGTGAAAAAATACAAACAAACAAAAACACAGAAACAAAACCTGTCATAAATTTATGATACTGCAAAGCCCTCCATAGAAGGTTAACTTGATTACCATTTCACCCACTCCTTATTTAAATGATCAAATTTAGGCAATGCATTTTGAATTGATGATGAAATCGGATACATGGCACCCAGCTGAAAAAAATGACCAATATTGGTTTAATAATTGGGTCGTTTTCAAAGTCCGTCCATATATAAGATAGAAATTGAGAAAATATTTTTATCAATTAATTCAATTTTAAATATTCTAATGAACTCTTAATAATTTATATGAACAAAATCTAAAATATGCAGTCTTAATGAAACTGGGAAGATCATTGTAAATGCAAAATGAGATAACAGAAATGACGGAATTTGTCAGCTACATAACGATAGCAATTGTGCTGATATTTCAATGTTTGCTACTAATAAATGATGACCTTTTCCTCAAATATTATAAGATAAATTCACTGTTTTCTAATTACTTCGGTTATTACAGTGTTCAACATACGATTTTGACTATTGCTTTTTGTCACCTACATAACGATATTGTCAACTACATAACAAAAATGTCCACTACATAACAAAATTAGGTCAATTGTTATGTAGTTGTTATGTAGTTGACCGTTATGTAGTGGACGTATTCACACTTTGGGGCATTTTTTAATACCACTGATATTTCAACATCACACAAACACTGTGCTTTTTTTCTATAAACACATAACATTTATCATAATGATATAGATATGGACGTGATGTTCCATTGTTATCTTGAAAAAAAAATCCCGTTACCAAGTGGACAAGTTAAAAGATATGGGGCTACTTCTACTTACTAAAATGCCAATAATTGTTGATACCATTTACAGAGTTATCTTTTTATGCTTCCATTATTATAATGATCTGTAGAGTAAGTGCTGAGGCACTTTCTAGATAAAAAAAAAGGTGTCAGAAGTTATATTATAGCAAGCAAAAACGTTTTCGTTATGTAGTTGACAAAATATTAAGGAAACTATAAAACATTAAGATAACTCTGAAAACATAGCCAACAACTATTTAAATCCTTTATAATATCAATCTACATTGTATTTTCTATCTTAAAACAGAAAATTGTAAGATTTGTGTAGTTATAAAAATGTCTATTTTGATTCGATATTTGGTATTTTTGTAGTTGGGACATGCAGTTTGGGCTCATTTTAGAGCTTTGAGTACCCTTTCCAAGAAAACCCACGGACCTTTTCCTTATGTTTCTTCCGCAAGTATAGTAGAACTTACGTTGCACTATGCAGGACACCAACATTCAAATGATAATAAAGCCGTATTTTCCTCACAGGTCAGCCGGACAAGAATATAGACGGATTTGGAAAATGACCCATTTGCAGGCTGTTGCTTTCGCATCAAAACCATTGATTTAAGGTAAAAAAGCGTGAAATTTTTTATTTGTAGTTTTACTGATTTCGAAAATCACTGTTTTTACGCCCAAAATTTCAAAAACCGATATTCGAACGTAAAAATTGAAACATATAAATTAAATTTTGAATGCCTTTGTAAGTATTTGAATACTGAATTCTTATTTTCGAAATTGGGTTCCGATTTTGTCATCATTTTCCGCAAACTAACTTTGACCTTTGTGTTCAATAACAGTATTTTCCCACTTTTCAACTTAGTCAGATTGTCTTATGCATATGATTGAGAAAACCAACATTAATTTTGTTATATCTAAACAAATCAGAAAGATATTGTACCTAAACAAATCAGAAAGTTATTCTACCTAAACAAATCAGAAAGATATTGTACCTAAACAAATAAGAATGATATTGAACCTAAACAAATCAGAAAGTTATTGTACCTAAACAAATCAGAAAGATATTGAACCTAAACAAATCAGAAAGTTATTGTACCTAAACAAATCAGAAAGATATTGAACCTAAACAAATCAGAACGTTATTGTACCTAAACAAATCAGAATGATATTGAACCTAAACAAATCAGAAAGTTATTGTACCTAAACAAATAAGAATGATATTGAACCTAAACAAATCAGAAAGTTATTGTACCTAAACAAATCAGAAAGATATTGAACCTAAACAAATCAGAAAGTTGTTGTACCAAAACAAATCAGAAACTTATTGTATCTAAACAAATCAGAAAGTTATTGTACCTTAACAAATCAGAAAGTTATTGTACCTAAACAAATCAGAAAGATATTGAACCTAAACAAATCAAAAAGTTGTTGTACCTAAACAAATCAGAAAGATATTGCACCTAAACAAATCAGAAAGATATTGAAACTAAACAAATCAGAAAGATATTGAACCTAAACAAATCAGAAAGATATTGAACCTAAGCAAATCAGAAACTTATTGTACCTAAACAAATCAGAAAGTTATTGCACCTAAACAAATCAGAAAGATATTGAACCTAAACAAATCAGAAAGATATTGTACCTAAACAAATCAGAAAGATATTGAACCTAAACAAATCAGAAACTTATTGTACCTAAACAAATCAGAAAGTTATTGTACCTGAACAAATCAGAATGTTATTGTACCTAAAGTAATCAAATCAGAAAGATATTGAACCTAAACAAATCAGAAATTTATTAAACCTAAACGAATCAAAAAGCTATTAACAAAGCTGATAGCTATTGCAACTTAACATATCAGAAAGTTATTGAACCTAAACGAATCAGAAAGCTATTGAAACTAAACAAATAAGAAAGTTTTTGGAACTAAACAAAATTGAAAGGTATTGAATGTTAACAAAACAAAAAGTTATTGGACCTAGACAACTCTGAAAGCTGTTAAACCTAACCAAATCAGAAACCTATTGAACCTAAACAAATCAGAAAGTTATTGAACCTAAACATATCAGAAAGATATTGAACCTAAACAAATCAGAAAGATATTGAATCTAAACAAATCAGAACGTTATTGTACCTAAACAAATCAGAAAGATATTGAACCTAAACAAATCAGAAACTTATTCTACCTAAACAAATCAGAAAGATATTGAACCATAACAAATCAGAAACTTATTGTACCTCAACAAATCAGAAAGATATTGAACCTAAACAAATCAGAAAGTTATTGTACCTCACCAAATCTGAAAACTATCAAACCTTACCAAATTAGAAACCTATTGAACCTAAACAAATCAGAAAGTTATTGTACCTCACCAAATCTGAAAACTATCAAACCTTACCAAATTAGAAACCTATTGAACCTAAACAAATCAGAAAGTTATTGAACCTAAACAAATCAGAAAGATATTGAACCTAAACAAATCAGAAAGTTATTGTACCTACACAAATCAGAAAGGTATTGAACCTTAACAAATCAGAAACTTATTGTACCTAAACAAATCAGAAAATAATTGTACCTCACCAAATCTGAAAACTATCAAACGTTAAGAAATCAGAAAGATATTGAACCTAAACAAAACATTCCACCTATTAAATTCAAGACATTTATACGGTATGGATTTTTCTCATTGTTGAAGGCCGTACGGTTGACTATAGTTGCTTACATCCACTTTATTTGAACTTTGGTGGATAGTTGTCTCATTGGCAATCATACCTCATCTTCTTATTTTTATATATATCTAGTTCGGAAGAGTGAAGAAAAAAGAAACTCTGCCCATTTTCAGTGTTATTAAGTAACATATATACGTTTTTACAAACTAGAGGCTCCCAAGAGTCTGTGTCGCTCACCTGTATCTACTGTTGTTTTGGAAATCATGTAAAATGATACTCTATTGAAAATTGTGGCTAAGTTTAATAATATTTGATCCAGTAGATTAAGTGGAGAAGATTTTTGTAAAAGATTACAAAAATTTACGAAAAATTGAATATAAAAGGCAATAACTCCTTAAGAGGTCAATTGACAATTTTGGTCATTTGACTTATTTGTAGATCGTACCTTGCTGAACATTATTGCTGTTTGCAGTTTATCTCTATCTATAATAATATTTAAGATAATAACCAAAAACTGCAAAATTTCCTTAAAATTACAAATTCAGGGGCAGACAACGACGACGACGACGGACGACTGACGCCAAGTGATGAGAAAAGCTCACAAGGCCCATTGGGCCAGGTGAGCTAAAAACAGCAAGAATCATTTTTTAAGTCGACGGGAATATAGTCATTACAAATGTAACTGTTGTGTTTTATTAAAATATACTGACAAATAAATTTACTTGAGCCTCTACGTGGACGTGCGAGCAACCGTCACTGCTATGTCTACTAGTTTTGCGTTGCAGTGGGGAGGAACAAATGAACCATGATTGTTCAATCTTAAGTCAAATAGTTTTTATAAATGAAGACTGATTTAAGACTGTTATTAATAACTAATAGTTCATTCGTAGTGTGATTATAGGCAAGTCCTTGCGGGCTATATATTCCATCTTTGGCCGTCAAAATTACTTCTCCATGGCCATCACTTGATATCATGTGGATCGTATTAGAATTTTTACCTGCCACGTAGACATTGTCTTTGCAGTCTATGGCAATACCATATGGATATTCTAGTTCAGGGCTGCTGTAAAACACCTCTTTACTTCCGTCGCCATGTACTCTGTATATCATTTCGTCATATAAACTTGTATAATACACTGTATCCGAACAAAGAGAATGACAACAGTCCCGCATAGGAATTGTTATTTTCTTTGTCGTCAAAGTTTTTCCATTCACATCAACCTTGTGTAGGGTATTTTTATCTTTCTGAATCCATATATCATCATTCACACAATGCATAAATCTTTCAAAGTCAAATCTAATAGGTTCTACTAACTGTAAAGTTGATGTGTCAATAACTTCACTGCCGAAAGATCCACTAAAAAAGGCTTGATTTATACCAATTGCTACTGAGGTGTCACATGGTTTATCGTCGAAAGTAAACCTTTTCAAAATACTCCCATTTGCTTTACATACGTATACAGACTTATTTTTTTCGTCAGATATAAGCAGTTTGTTTTTGGGAAGAAAGCACGCTCTTCCAAAGCGGATGTCAGTACCCAGCTCAGAGGCATTAAAGGAATTCAATAGTTTAATTCTAGACCTAATCCTCATTCTTTTGCTTAACAAGGACGGATTTTGCTCGTCATTTCTGTCTTCAAGGGAGGTTTTTTCACTTGCTCTTTTCATTGCGTATCTTGTATCCTTATCCAAACTTCTTATTGATATTTATCTCGGGTTTTTTTCATGATTTAAACACGGATGTCGCAATAATGCTGACCTGTAAAATCATATGGAGAACATGAATATAAAACTCTTATTGCTCAAAATTAGTCGTTAGCATATATCAACATGAATTTAAGAATTATTGAAAGCCTCTTTTTGTAATTTTATTGGGGTGCAAAAGCGTTGACCGAGGCACATTTTTAAGAAGCACGATCCACGCTTTTCAGCAATATAAAATTACAAAAAGAAGAATTCAATTCTTAAAATTTCATTTTTACATTTTTGCCGTGAAATTATGAGTTAAATCAATATTTCATTTGTTTTTCTTTTCACTGCTTTAACGTTGACACGTAGAGCACGTGCACTCATAGATGTTGCATTTTATCAGGAAATAAAACATTATTTTTAGAATGCCTTGGCCAATCAAAATTACGGAACATTATGTATAGTTGATTTAATTATAATAATTATATCACCTGAACGGGTGTGGTTTAAAATGCTTTGTCAACTGCTAATACAATGTAGTCATTTAGTGATCCTTAAGAATGAAACTAGAAGAATTGCGAGCCTAGCACACAACTTGATACCCCTGTCCCAGCATACAGCAATGAATATGTCTTTGATTTACTTAAGGAAATCACAAAAAAAAAAATCAAATAAAAAACATAATACGAGGTGAGCAATGTCATTTATGTGGTTAAGAATCTGAGAAAGTTATAATAAATTTGAATTAGATTGAGGAGGATTTGCGGATACAAATGGGGTAAAGGATACAGCGAAGGCAAATCAATGATCCGCTAGGGAAACCCCAAATAATTTTGATCTGATAACAAAATGGGAGCCGCACAATGGCATTGTATGGGCAGATTATAAAACAAATCATTGAATTTTGATTTGAAGTTTAGGAGAGAAGCGGATACAAATGTGTACTGTAGTATGCGGACATGACAAAGTTCATTTCATGCCAAAGTAAACCCCAAAAATCATTGGGGTGAAGACAAAGCACATCCTGTAAGTAAGATTCTGTTAAAATTTCACAAAATTCTGTTAAGCAGTTCAGGAGCATAGGCGGATACAAAGGTGGGACGAATTGACGAACGGACGGACGGACGAAAAGGCGGATAACCCAATCTTATATCGCACGTTTCATAAAGCGGAGGGGGAACCCGAAGAATTGACTGAGGTATAGAAATAAAGGCCTCCCATGGTCTTCTTCCGACCGGTAGTAAAACGCTTGCCAAAGTGAGGCGTCCATTTGGCTGTGCGTGGTGTATAAATTTGCAGCCATGTCTGGTCAGAGTGGACTGTCTCGTGTTGAGAGAGTGTGCCACGCTCTCTGCACGTTATGAATACTTGCATCAACTCATTGAGGGGTCCGTAGTGTCCTATTGCAAGGATAATTGTCTGTCATTTTTCCAATTGCATTCCAAATTTACTGCCAATCATTCCGGTGACTCCCTATTGCAGGACCTACCTATTGTGTTTATTGCTAATGTGTTCTCCGACCGAACATGCATGACATATTTGCCACTTGACGTAATGCAAACAACAATCAATCAATCAAATCATAAAGCGGAGAGTATAATGCAGATGTTGATCAATTGATTGGTGTTAGCCTAACGTTCAGTGACAATGTTTATGCATACTCTGTATTCCATTGGATATTTTTTTAAATTGTGTTCATTCAACGTTGTTAACTCAGCAATAGAAAATTTTGATTGGAAAGTCTAAATAACATCCTGCAATCTATTTGTGTTGCTTTCTATGTTTTGAAATTTGTATAATGTTATGAAATTGCGTATCTATCTTTCTTTTGTTGCCGTATACAAATCTGTTGGGTGAAAAAGATTTAATATAAACCTGATGCAGTTGTGTTTTGCAGATCAAACATATAAACAGAGGTTAAAATGGATATTTACTTTCAAACATACTTGTCGTTGTTCAAATCAAAACTTGCTTACGTCTTCAACTTTGTTTCTAAATATAACTATCTTTTATTTAAAAAACCAATATCAATAATAAATCGATATTCACATTTATAAACGGAATGCGATACAGTTTCAGGGTAGATAACTTTTGACCTGATAATGAACATTCAATCTCCCGTTAATTCCGTTTTTCTTATAGTGAGACTTTGAATATAATCAGAAGACTAAAATTTTGAGAAAAAAAATAAAAATGACCAAAAGCTACTCTTCGAATGACTTAAAAAAAATGAGGTAACATTTGGGTAAATACAATTTCATGATTTGAGTTTTCTTTGAAATAAGCACGGTAACATATACGTGTTTTATTACTTATTTTCAAATGCACAATGAAAGCCGAATCTGGAAAATGTCAATACAGAACCATATGAAAGTGTCCATTTTTTGGTCGGCAAAATTTACTATTTTGGAGGCATACAATACGTTAGATAATTTAGTTTTGAAATTTAAAAAAAATGCAGACAGGTTTGCATGTGTGCACGTTACACTGACAACATCAATGTATTTTTTGTCAATGCATTTGAAATTTATTGATCGGGGGATAATGTAGAAAATGTATACAGCGGGAGGAGAGTCTTGGAAAGGTATGGATTGGCAGGATAGTCGGGAAAATATATGCATCAGGGGAATAGCCTGGAAAATATACATTGATCGGAAATATATTCATGTTCAATATATAGGTTCAGATATATTGCATTACAACAGGGCATTTGCTGACGCATCCAAACAATTGTTTACATGGTTTTGTTATGCTTAAAGCTACTATAGCTAAGTCTTATCATCATTGGGCATTGGATTTAACGTCACCATATTGACCAAACCTGGCTGCGAGTATATGCAAAACTAATTGTGTCAACTGGATTAATCTGTTAAGTTACATATAGTATGCTATTTTGTTCTAAATAGTCTAATTATAGACATATATTCATTCTCCAGTTTATTTCTACCACAAGTCTTATGTTATGTGATCATCTTCAGTAGCGGATCCAGGATATTTGAAAGGGGGCGTAATTGCATAAAACGTTATGTACTGCCGAGCGACGATATTTTGCCAAAAAAATATAAATTTTCCAATCAAAAGGGGGCGACCAATGCCCTCTACGCCCCCTCTGGAATCCGCCACTGATCTTCACCTTCATACCTTTAAACACTAAATAGTTTCGCTGGATGTAATTTGTCGTTTTTAGACTAGATATATATAATATTGAATAGGTTTTTTTTATAACATTATCAGTGTTATTATTATCATTATTTTAACTTGAGATTTTTCATACCCAATATACTGCGGTATGTTAGATTTTTTTATATTAACAGTCCATAATTTAAAAGATAGACAATTTATGCGGTTATCACGAGACCGATTTGATATCAAATAATCAAATGAAAGATTAAAACACTTTATAATAATAGAAATTAAATACAAACAATGATGAAAAAATCACTGGAAGTTTTAATAGTATCCCTGTTCTTTACGTTGTCATGGGGACATCTTTGTTTAATACATCCACTACAGAGAGGTGACATGGAAATAACTATGGTAAGTGTACGTGTTTTGGTCTAGAGAAATCTGATTAAAATAAAGATCCTGTGTCCGAGCTTTGCTTACAAGACTGATAATTTCTACAAATTTTAACTTTCTTCGTGAATTTTTAAGAATTTATACAAACTAGATTGCTTCGCATCACGGTGTAATGCTTTTAGATTCATGCAATAAACACGCCATCTGAAATTATTATTTAACAGCCGTACTTCTGACTGGTTGTTGCTTCATAGTATGGTAAAGGTTCTATTGGTTTGTATGATTTATAGCATTGGGAACACATCACGGGTGATTAGAATTCGGAGTGAATTAAATAACAGTATGGGTATTCGAGACCAGGTCGATGAATGATCACACATTGTTGGTGCTGATAGTAAAAGTTAATACATTTATTATTTTTGTATTCCATTGCATAATTTACATTATACACGATTAGATTTATTCACAATATTTCCAATGTATGATATTAATATCATATCACATGTATGATCATGATACATGTAATATGGCAAAATCGATATAAATAGCTCTGTTCACTTATACATTTACTCGATGCTAACCGATATGTAATTACAAAAAAAATGTATTAGATATCTACACATGTATGTGTTAAAACTAAACGTAATTGGTTAGACTATCACATTATTCAATTTAGGAAGTATGGGTCTTAGAACGTGCACTAAAACTAAAAAGGTACAACGAAACAACATGAAAGTATATATAACGTCAACATTGTATGTGTAATCCCTCGGAACAAGCTAAATTTAAAGCATCAATTTATGTGTAAATATCGCAGATTCGCTGTGTACTTTAGGTGATGATGCCGAAATTGAAGGCATCAATTGACTTCTACCTGAAGATTTAGAGATATTAAAAATATTCCGGAATCGCGTATCAGACCCGAACAGAACATTCTTGGTCTAATGAATGTTTTTTTTAGCTTCAACTATTTTATGTTATAATTTCCTTTCACAGTCCCCAATTCGTGACCGCAGAACGGTGTCACTTTGTACCATATTGATAAATGGTCAATAAGTGAAGCAACGAAAGAAACGATACAAGGCAATGCATTTTCAATTGATGATGAAATCGGATAAATGGCACCCAGCATAAAAGAATTGACCAATTGGTTTAATATTTGAAGGCTGATGCTTTTGCATCAAGACTATTGATTTAAGGTAAAAGCGTGAAATTTTTTATTCGTAGTTTTACTGATTTCGAAAATCACTGTTTTACGCCCAAAATTTCAAAAACCGATATTAGAACGTAAAACTTGAAACGTATGAATTCAATTTTGAATGCCTTTGTAAGTATTTGAATACTAAATTGGGTTCCGATTTTGTCATCATTTTCCGCAAACTAACGTTGACCTTTGTGTTCAATAACAATATTTTCCCACTTTTCAACTTAGTCAGATTGTCTTATGCATATGATTGAGAAAACCAACCCTAATTCAAATAGCGTTATGTGTCTTCTTAATATGTATACCAAGTCTCATAATTATTCTTTTTAACACTTTCTTAAAAATTAAGTCAAAAGTATGATTCCTTAGAAAATGCCATGCATATAAAGGATGCAATAGCAAATGCATAACAGATAATAGGATTTGCGTGTTCATGTACTTGTACATAATTGGTTTCCATTGTTTGGATTTGAGAACCATTCATGTACTTATACATCATTGCTTTCCATTGTTTGGATTTGAGAACCCAACACAAATCATGTTTAATAATTAAAAATGAAGGAAATAGATATAAAGGGGTTATCAAAAAACCTTATTCGAAGGAAGACAGACAGCAGAAACACAGATGAACAGAAAAAGAAGAATCCACAAAACACCACACAGAACACTAAAGATTAAGCAACACGATACCCACCAAAACAAGGGGTGATATTCAGTTTCTGCTCGACCAGTGTACAAATCAAATTAAATATATATATATATATATATATATGTGAACTTACTTACTTTGTAGGGTGGAAGTAAATCCTGTGCTCGTCACGAACCCGAATGTGGAGGTCAACCACCCAAGACACCAGTTAATTGGTTCATGGGTGGCAAACAAATGTGGATAAAGTGGCAGCAAAATTATAATCATTACGATGTAGGATATCCAGGTATTCAACGCTTGATCAAAATGGTACAATTTGAATAAATACTTACTTCTAATAGAGGTATCGGATTTGTCGATTTATCCTACGTATAAAGCATCTATGACTTTCGTACAAAAGAACAGACAATGACAATCATTTAGAATAATGACCAGAAAATCAATCTATAGTTCAAGAAAGAAATGACAATATTGAAAATTGAAGTAAAACTAAGTAAACCGAGGATCAATTCGCGAATTCGAAGCCCACAGCTGAAATATTACGTGTATCTGCGTTATAAGCAATTCTTGTCAAGTCCGGTTTTACTGTGGTCTGCTTATTATTATATAGATATAAGAAGATGTGGTATGAGTGCCAATGAGACAACTCTCCATCCAAGTCAAAATTTATAAAAGTAAACCATTATAGGTCACAGTACGGTCTTCAACACGGAGCCTTGGCTCACACCGAACAGTAAGCTATAAAGGGCCCCAAAAAATTACTAGTGTAAAACCATTCAAACGGGAAAACCAACGGTCTAATCTATATAAAAAACGAGAAACGAGAAACACTTATGAACCACATCAACAAACGACAACTACTGAACATCAGATTCCTGACTTAGGACAGGTGCAAACAAATGCAGCGGGTTTAAACGTTTTAATGGTACCAAACCTTCACCCTTTTTCTGAAACAATAGTGTAACATCACAACATAGAAAGACACACTATAAAATATCAACTGAAAAAGCTTAACTCAATCAAAGGACATATTAACACCATTGAACATACACTGAACAAATAAATTTGACCTATGACACAATGTAAATACAAAATAAATAAACTAAGGGAAGAATAATAAAAGTAACATGTTATATCGGTAAGAAATGTTAAACAATTAAAGAAAAACAATATGCTCGAACAAAAATACCATCCATTTGCAATAACTTTAAACACAGGTAAATGAAAATAATTTTGTTGTTAGGTATACCTGTACAGTACCAATAGAGAAAGGAAATATTTTTACAAAATAAATAATTTTGAATACAAAATAAATAAACTAAGGGAAGAATAATAAAAGTAACATGTTATATCGGTAAGAAATGTTAAACAATTAAAGAAAAACAATATGCTCGAACAAAAATACCATCCATTTGCAATAACTTTAAACACAGGAAAATGAAAATAATTTTGTTGTTAGGTATACGTGTACAGTACCAATAGAGAAAGGAAATATTATTACAAAATAAATAATTTTGATGTACATAGTACGAAGTGAAAATTTATAGTTATACCAAACACTTATCAAAGCTGGTATATAGACCAGATATAACCCTGAATAACATTAAATAACAAAAAAGCAATACAATTAGTATCAACAGGTCAAATAAACAAGAAAGTACGATTTGAGAGTACTCGCAGTTACTGACAGCTAGTTAAAAACCAAAACAATTAATAATAAAAAATCATGCATCAGAGACTAAAATCAACTAAAACACACCCAGGGATTTAGTATTTTAACGTCATGGACAGTCAAAGAAGACATGACTAGTGCAATGCCAAAAATAAATGTATCGACAGACAGTAGGATAGTTAGGAGTTTAACCTCTTTATAGATCTAAACGAACGTGGGTGTGTCTTTATACATCCCACTTGAAAAAATAAAAATTTAGTTATGTTTTAATTTGCTGATGACAAAATCGATATTAGTGCCAATGTAAACTATATTATATGACTGAATATGTATGGGTATATTCTGTGATATGTAAATCAAGTACCACCATGCTATGCAGAGATCAGGTGATTTTTTTTAAGTAAAAATAATAGATACATGTTACATATTAAAGCAGTCATGCCGTAGCCATAAATTTGTAGATATTTATGATAAAAAAAAATAAGACAAAAGGACATAGAATTTAAATGCAATTCTCATTATACAGAACATTTTATCTTTCATATAATTTTTTAGCATGATAAAAATCAGTTAAAAGTAATATGTCAACAAGTACAACAATGCAAAAATAATTGGTTAGCAAAGAAACAATTTTAATTTGACGCCATACATCTTTTCTATGTATAAGGAATTTTTCTTACTAATAACGACTAGAACAGTTCATACTAATTTATTTCTTAAACTTGCAGGGTATATGGATGTGGCGTACGCACCGTTGAATTCATCGAACTGGAAAACTATAGCTTATGTGGCAGATGAGTATTTTTATGCTCAGGATCACCAAAGAAATTATACAGCGATAGTTGTGAGTGCTTTTGTTTAATATTGCGAAACATGATTGCAGAAAGTTAAAAAGTAATATTCAAAATTAAGGTGTCAAATTATCAAGACAGAAAATAAAGATGAATTTATATATGTTACAGAGTATTTTGAATATAAGCAGTTCTAAAATAGACTGTTTAAGATTTTGATTTTCAGGTCAACAGTATTCTAAAATTAGTTTTAGATATCAATTTAAGCCAGTCTACATATTAAGTACTATAGAGATTGGGCAATTTACTTTTTATTCCAGATTATGTAGTAGTGTAGGTCTATTATTTTCAACGAATTTTCGACGTTTTAATTTACATTGAACGTTCCTGTCGTCTGGGTAATTTTCATTAAGAAGACGGGAAGAAATGGGACCAGTTTGGGGCGTTACTCTTAAAGTCTTTACAATGCAAGTAGTTATTTCATCTAGTTCTGGTCAAAATATCTTAAGACTTTAAATTACCAAAAGGTATTTTAATTTGATTTTGATTTTTTTAAAGGTTCTTCCAAACATTGAGTGTGCTCATTGTGTTATCAGAGCTCGGTACCAGTCGCACAAACCAGGAGAATCGATATTTTACCAGTGTTCGGATATTTCCATAAAGCAAACATCGGCAGAACCAGAAAAGGTAAAGCTATTACCACCACAGCAACTAGAACTTGACACTCAGTATGGATCTATATTGAAAAAATATCACAATTTAAAAAGAAAACACGAAAGTTCTCAGTACATCGATCAACATTGTTTTATTGGATTTTCATACAACCCCTTAACTCCTTTTGATGGTTTCTTAATGAGTGTGAACTTAAGGACAGGTGAAACTAGAGAAATGGAAGAATTTTATATCAACATTGCCCTTAGACAGAAACAGAGTCCTAAAAGGTATCAAATAAAGGATCTTGCGGGATACGGTGATTTTGTGTATGATGCCATATCTGCGATTAACTCGAATGGTAATTTTGTGAATTTATACCACACCGGGGAAACGGCTGACATTGTTAATGATTTTGTCATGGAGGTTGACCTAAAGCATCCAGGAAATGTCATTAAAAGGGCGAAAATTGTCAATAATTTAGACTTTCCTATCAGCGCAATACTTCCTTTTGCTGAAGACAGTTATTATACAGTCACTCTGGCAGATCGTGTTACTAAAGGTAAGAGTTCCAAAATATCCACTTTCACACTTTCATAACACTGAAGGGAAACAAACTGTAGCGCGTGCACATTTTTCGCAACTTCTTCACATTTTTGCTCCTATCCGTATGCTTTAATTATTTATTCTCCTTTATTTTAACGGACTTACTCAAAACCAGAGAAAACCAGTCTAAGCTATGAAAAAGGTGGCGAAAATACCAAGAGGTGCAATCAAAATCTATGAGCCAAAGAAAAAAATACAACGGCATGGCTAAAGGAAATAAAGACGAACATTCAAACAACAGTTCACAGAATATATAATACACGGAAATATAGGAATTGGCAAGACGAACCCCACTGAAAACCTTGGGCGAACACAGGTGCTACTGAAGGATATGCCGTTCCTGTTCTACTTGTAGCACCCGTCGTGCTATTCATGACAAGTAAAATCCGTCAATATAATGGAATTCTATGCGACTGTCATACAAGTGAGAGGTTTAGCTAGCTATAAAACCAGGTTTAATCCACCATTTCCTTCATAAGGAAATGCCTGTACCAAGTCAGGAATGTGACAGTTGTTTTCCATTCGTTTGATGTGTTTGAGCTATTGATTTTGTCATTTTATAAAGGACTTTCTGTTTTGAATTTCCCTTGGAGTTCGGTATTTTTGTTATTTTACTTTTTCCCGATAATAATTTGACTTCGATGGTGTTATTAAAGGGGGAAAGTGGACGAGATTGTGGCTACGACACGTGGAAGATTTTCAGTATTCATGTAAAATCTCCTACTATAACAATGCCAATATTCGAATCTTATTTGTTTTATTATTTATACTTATATAGTTTAATTGAAAATATCGCTATGGAAATCATCGGAATAATGTCCGTTGTAAATGCATTGTGTATATTGTATATATTTAGGGCAATTCCAGTTCATTCTTGGACAGTTGACATATACAGCAACTCAGCAATTCTCTTACAAACCAATTCTGTGGTCAGTACCAGAATCACTATATGTAAATTATCAATGGGCGGAATATGACAGTGTGAGAAATCTTGTGTATATACTGATGGGTAACGAGAACTCACCCGATAGACTCCAGGCAAGAATATATACATACGATCTCACAGAAGGGTACGGAAATTAATGAACTGATAGTCTATTTCCTTGAAAATTTGTTTTGTAAATGTATATACCATAGTTCTATAAACCATTTTAACTTTTCGTTAAGCGCCATCATTGAATAATAGTTCCTTTTTTCTCTTTGCTGAGTGTTGAGCTTAAATTAAACAACTTTTCTTTCCTTCAAATTATATTATATTTAATGTTTTAGTATATTGTTTTAAAGTATGACTGAAATATGAATTTTTAATATTGATGAATAAAATGTGAAGCTGGAGGTTTTAGCATTTGATGAAGTTTCGCTTATATTAAATTTGGAAGTATCCTTTTACACATGGCAACAATTGTTTCATTTACACCGAGTCATTGCGCCCTCTGTTACCATAATCAACATGTTCAATTTTAATAGCTGCTGGAAATAGCATGATATATTACAAATTTCCTCGTCCAACTTTTAAAATGCTTTACAAGTATACTTTTTTTACTACAGAAATGTTTCCTGGGTGGCGGTAGATGTTTCTGATTATACATATATGTCTATGCATGTTCATAAAAAGACAGGTAAGTATTCAATTAGTTGTAACACTTCTTTTTCATTAAAAGTTGCTATTGAAGATTTTTCCCCGCCTTATTTAAATTGGTAAAAAAAATTAATTGCACATGGTTAAATGAGAAAGCAAAATAAACAGAATTTAAAATAAAGAATTTTGAAAGAGTACTACAATTCAACAGTGCTCCAAACAAAGCCTGGTCGGAAGTAGAATGTACATTTAAAGTAAAAAAATAGTAGAATTTACTAGGATGAACCATTAATCGACGTAAGTTTTATTTATATTAACGGCAACGACCTGCTAGCATGGTTGGTGTGTGTAATGTTTATTCCAGTTGGTTCAACAACAACAACAAAAAATAACACTTTATAAATTTGTAAAGTCCGAAATGCTTTTCTGTTCATCAAGAACGCTCATACCAAAAAAAAAAAATAAAGCCTAGAATGCATATAACTACTTCATCACGCGAAGAGCTATATGATCAAAAGAAGCCTTCAAGAATAACCAAATCCATCTTAGGTTTCATGGGATGAGATTTTTCTTAACGTTTAACGACGAATAGACCAGTCGATTCATTACAAATGTCTGACTTCAAAATATTTTGGTTTTGGTAAAATCATAATGACTTCCAGGAATATCGTTTTCTATTTAATTAAGTCAACCTGATTAAGTTCATTTCAAAGATTTAGAACAACAATTAAGCAATAGTTCACTTGAATTAGTTAGATATGTATCATTACCAAGCATTTTGGTTAAACCTGTGGATCTTGAAAATAAATTGAGAAAATAAAAGACTATTTTGAACGATAAACATGTGCTCTTTAACTACAAACACAACTTATGATTGCTTAAACAACTACCAAATGGATCTCAAATATGATTACAGATTTTGCATTGCGCTTTGTATGAAGTGAATATAAAATGTGTCTTTTTGCTATATCTGCAGATTTTTTTTACAATGTATTTGCTTTGAGTTTGGCAGATGGTGTTGTACCTCAATCAATGCGTTCACATTATGCTTTAAATATAAAGGATATAAACCTTGAGCATCTTAGGTATTTTCTCTCTTTTCCATTCCATATTGTTTTTATAACTTGTTTCTTTTTTCAGGTCGTCTTCTTGCAGTTTCACCTGGACTTACATATCATTTTAATCCATATTGGTCACTTATTGAGGTCGATCCACTTACGGGAAAATCTAAAAACCTGAAAATTATTGCTTATGGTGGTAAGAATAAGACGTTTGTGTGCCATTGTAACCTTATCTGTTCTATGTTTTCTTTTGGTGACCTTTTCGGACTCATTGGGTTTAGTTTAAACATATTTTGATTGCATAAATACAAATAGGATAAGACACAAGTCAGACAGACTTATCAAGTCTTTTCCATTTAACGTGTTTAACCATACAATATACAAGAGCATGCATACATTAACTATTATGTCAACATTTGTATAAATTGGATAGTATATTTATAAGGCGAAGAAAAAAGAAAAAAGAAGCTTGAGGTGGTATTAGTGTCTTCTACCATTTTGAATTGGAAAATAGCAGAACATAATAGGTCTAGAGTTTTACAGGAATGCCATTAACCAATAAAAATGTCCATTCAAATGATCAAATTTATGTAACCTTAGCCGTATTTGGCACACTTTTTGGAATTTTGGGTCATCAATGCTCTTCAACTTTGTACTTGTTTGGCTTTCTAAGTATTTCGATCTGAGCGTCACTGATGAGTCTTTTGTAGACGAAACGCGCGTCTGGCGTATTAAATTATAAGCCTGGTACCTTTGATAACTATTATGTAATCTTAAGATATAAATACTCATATTATTACAAAATTGAATATTTTTGCTTGATTTCAAATTTTTTAAAACTTTATGTATTAAGGGGAGGTAACTCAGAAAATTTATAATTTATAAAGGAATCTTAATGACATTTTCTACATTATGTTATAGCATTCATAGCTAATCAAAATTGAATCGTGTATTCTATTTTCAGGATATTTTTCACTATATTATGGTGGAACCATATTCAATGGAATTGATGAGGAAACTAATACTTTGTACCACGTTTTTAGGTTGATTGACACAAATGCTGACGTTATCGTTGGAATAAATATAAACACTTACAAGATGACATTTTCTGAAATAACAAACCTGAGACATTTACATAATCTATCATATATTCGAGCAAACAATACTTGTTTTCTCTAAATGTCACACTCTTTAGGCTTTCTAAGGCAACAAAAGAATAAAGATATATTCCTATATTTAGTCTGGTTTTTTCTCTCACCTATAACTATAACATCTTAGAATATGATAGGCTAGGAACCGGTGTCATATAGGAAAACAAAAAGGAAGTAAAAGATTTACCTTCCACCAAACAGTTTGCAAAGCCTACTCGATGATTTGTAAGAATATGTAAGTGGTGTATAAGAGAAAGTGCAGTTAGTCATGTGCTATTTTACATAGACTGTTTGCTGATGTTGTTAAACTTGCTGTCTCATCAAAGTTATTCAATGTTTATCCTTTGATCATCGTGACTTAGTACATAAGTAGTATATACTGTGATATTTGGTTCACCACTTAAGTGCCGATGACGTAACCATGTGTTGTATTACGTAAACAAATATGGTATGCAAAAGGAATGACGAAAGCAAACATGGTTGAGAGAAAAGTAAAATAAGAACGATAAAACAATAACGTTATTCTATTTACACAAGCATTTCGTGGTAGGTCAAAAAATTCAGATTTGTTTATTCTTCATTTTAAATTTATCTAATAACATGTCTAGATGGTCTATCAAATTATTTTCAACTACTTTCTTCTCAAGCGTTTATTATTGATGCGCAATGATTAGAAACACGGTATTGGCAGTATTTGGCCACAACTTTATTATAAAATTATAAACACATATATAACTAGGTAAACAGTTAAGATATATATATGTATAGTAAATAGATATTTGAATGAACGTAGTCACCTTTCATATTGGCAAACTACGACACGATAACTAGATAACTAAATAGATAAATAATTAAGCTATATATATAGTAAATAGATAATTAATTAAACGTAGTCACCTTTCATATTGGCAGACTACAAAAAGATAACTAGATAGATAACTAGATAGGTAACTAGATAACTAATTATATACAATAAATGAAGCATCCAATTAAATGAATCCTGGGAAACAGAGATTCGTAAATTTTTGTGTGGTGGTCCTGGGATACAGAGACCCACAATATCAAATGTTTTGGATGCTAAATGAAATATGACGCCAAATGACGCATATTTAACGGAAACGCAGCGAAATGTGCCAAATTGACCAATATATTCGAGCATGATGAGAAAAAAAAAATGTGGAAAACTGATTATTAAGTAAATTTTTATTAAGTCCAGGGACCATTACTCTGCACAAAATCACCAAACCGGAACAAAACTCGAAACTTGAGCAATTAGTTGTCATGATAAAACTATATACCAATTATTAAAGCAATATCTTCAAGCATGACAACAGCAAAAAATTGAGGAAAACTGATAATGTGTTTGAATTCATAGAATATTAAGTCCAAGGACCAAAACTCAGCTTAAAAATCAGCAGACTGGAATAAAATATGAACTTGATATGTAACTTGACATGATAAAACAATGTACAGATTATCAAATCAATATCTTCAAGCAATAACAAAAAAAAATATTGCGGAAAACTGATTATTTGGGGGAATTTTCTTAGTCCAAGGACCATAACTTTGAACAAAATCATTAGACTGGAACACAATTCGAACTTGATCTATAACTTGTCATGATGAAACTATATAACAATTATCAAATCGATATCTTCAAGTATGACGAAAAAATATGCGGAAAACTGATTATTTGAGTGCATTTTCTCAGTCCAAGGACCATAACTTTGCACAGAATCATCATACTGGAACGCAATTCGAACTTGGTCTGTAACTTGTCATGATAAAACTATATACAATTTATCAAATCAATATATTCAAGCATGACGAAAACATGTGCGGACAACTGATTATTTTAATGAATTTTCTTAGTCCAAGGACCATAACTTTGCACAAAATCATCAGACCGGAACACAATTCGAACCTGATCTGTAACTTGTCACGATAAAACTATATACCAATTATCAAATCAACGTCTTCAAGTATGACGAAAAAATGTGAGGAAAACTAATTATTTGTGTGTATTTGACCTCAACTCTCCACAAAATCATCCGGGGCAGACCGGAACAACATTCATACTTGATCTGTAACTTGTCATGATAAAACAATACACCAAATATCAAATCAATATCTTCAAGCACGAAAACAAAAATGTGGAAGACTGATTTGCCGAATTGACAGGTGGACAGACAGACAGACGAACATAGTGAGAACCTTAAGTCCCCTTAAACTCAATCGGTAGGGGACTTATAACAAAGCAATTGACCAGCGACAGGTCTAAACTTGTAAATAGTAAGTTATTTCGTTTAAGCAAAAATAGGATAAGCATCTCTAGGCCGCTCATCAATAACGTGTGTGGTTCCTTCGAAGCACTGGTCGGTCTTTAAAGTTAGATAAAATTAAATGGAGTTCAATACTATATATATTTTTCTTGATATCTGGCGAGATGACAATATTATTTGTAATTTAGTTCATTTGTTCGAATATTTTTTTTTTTTTTTTATTAGTATTAATCATTAGAGTAGAGATTGTTTGTACACTATTTTCGATTGCAAGTTACTTTTACAAACTTGAGCACCAAAAGTTTTGATCTTTGAAAAGATTATCGTCTGCAAATCGTTGACATGAATTGACAGAGAGTTAACGGTTTCCTTACATTTACTATATATCATTTCTAAGGTCAAGAAAAGTTCAAATCGTAATCGGCATCGCAGCTTGTAGATACATTACGTTCGGAATTTATTATCTCAGACTGTAACGTATCTAATTAGAAAGATTTTGTATTCGAAAGAGAAACATCGAAATGTGTGTTAAATAATGTGAACAGTTGTACAAGGACTATCAAGTATATATTGTAAACATTAAACGTAGATAACAGAATATTCGTTTTAATGACAGCCAAATCGATAGAGGATATAATAATACTGCTATATTAACGTAGTCGTCGAATGCCAAGTCCCAAACCGTCGAACTTTATATCGAGCTTAATTCCACTGCAAAAGTATCTCAGCAACAATATATTTATACTCAAGTTCAATTTCTTTATTTGTTATTTTTGTATGAGGCAAAACTGGTTTAATAACAAGATTCCCCTGTTCATATGACACTTTTTGCTGGTCATTATCAATTATAGAGTTGTTCCTAAGTAGAACAAAAATGACATACTCGCCCGTTTGATTTTTTGATTTTATTTTAAGTACTGACTAACATCATAATCAAGACTAGAATAGTAACTAGTTGTTTGCGTGAGAATGATCTATACCGATTGCATTACCTGGTCGATTTACTACATCAAAAGAACAACTATCCTCCTGAAGTTGGGGGATCGTTAGATGCTGGTACTGAACTTGGTTAAAGATGTGTTTCCTCTTGTCTTGATGCAGCTTCTAATGTTGCAGTGGCTTTCCATCTTTTTAATGACCTTCGTGTATTCATCCTTAATAGTGCCAAACAACTATAAGATTAAATTGAACAACCAAAACAGAATATTGCTTTGTACTATAAATAAAGAATTTGTCAATTAGCGACCTTTAAAAGTTCATTGACGCCTATAACCAACCAGTTTAACATTCATCTGTCAGGAATGAAATATTTGTGTTTACGTGAAGTGATACCGTTGCACAAATGTCGGTCAGCTTCCGATAACAATAAAATATTTTGGGTTACACGTGCGATGAGGCTGATTAAACAATCTGTACCGAATGACGATGCTGTTAAAAATAGCGCAAGTGAGGTGATATGTGCTAATTTTATATTATAAAATCGGTCAAAGTAAACACAGTGGTAATTTAACAGAATACTAGACGATATTTAAAACACATGTACTATTATATATAACTATCTATAATGATGATAATAACATCTAGAATGATGATAATAATATCTAGAATGATGATAAAAACATTTATAATGATAGTAATAACATCTATACTGATAATAAGACAGCTAACAAATTGTTGCTATTGCATATATAATGATGCTTACAGTTAAGGTTATGGTGATGCATACATAAAGAGATAAAAATAATTATGTTGAACATGCGTAACCTTCAATTAGCATTAAGCTGTGACCGCCGGAGTGAAATGTGCAGATCGGTGTCAAGCGTTGAAATGAAATGGAATAAAACGTGTATATCTCTATGTAACAGTACATAAAAAAAAATTAATAGCTCAATTCTTATACATAAACACCGATCGCTACCTCCGGATAGTAAAAGTATTATAACATGTAAAAATAAGCAAAATAAGCAATAAATTGAAATTAATTTGCTATAAAACACTGATATTCTATTAAATATCCCACAATTGTTGCGGGAGACTAATTCTAATTATACCACCCGAGTTCCAATTGTAGAAAAGTGGTACAAAACCTGCACAATGTGGATCCTATATCTTTTTAATCACCAAAATAATTTTCTTTAAATCACCAAATAATATTCCGTCTGTTTCTTTCAAATGTCGGAATGAAAAAGATCGCGTGCGCAGTCATATTGCGCATTGACAAACATACATCTGATAGCCTACATTTAGGGAAAACGGTACTATTTATGAGTAATTTATTCTGTCATAGGCGACAATACTAACATTTTCTAAATTTACCACTTTTTATAATAAAAACCTGGATAAAATAGTTATGTGTGGTGTTAGTACTTTATTATTCTGTTTTAAAAATTGAAGCCAAATAGTATCATGACCAACTTCCAACGGAGCTTGTTTATGTTATCCATGCCCACCGTCATTTTACACCAAATTTATGAAATTTTGGAAGTCTTTTCGAATAATTCTCTAGAAAATATTTCAATGGGTTTCAAAATTTATATTGTAAATATACACACTGCAGTTATTTATAGATAAATAAAAAAATATATTGTACCCTTACATCCAATCACAGCGCTCCTAAGTTGACTTCCTTCACCTGCCTTGGGTACACAAAAGGCCAACCTAATGCTGGGAAAATGTAATAGTACCGTTTTCCCTTTAATAGAGGTGAAACAGCTAATAACACAAGTAATCTATGCTTACACTAATAACCGAATTCATGCTGAATCATAAATTCTATTACATTTCTTCAAAGGGTGTGGATAGAACTCCGAGTTTTTCCGGCAAAAGACGGCAAAAAATACGCTTCTGGTCAATTTTCCCATAGTTTTCAAATATCTCTGCATGTCAACAAAAAATGCCCTAAAATTTTACCTGGTCATGTGATCGTCGGGACTTTTTTAATATTTCGACTGAAGAGTTCAAAATTCTTGGAAACAACGTATCCAAGGGACCAAAAACTGCTTTATGTAGTATCTTATACGTAATTTTGTTAAAAATATATTATATCATTGAAGAAAAAAAACAAGGACAATTCATTTTTTTTTGTTTGTTAACAATACATTCTTTTGCATAGGATGAGGTTCACGTTTGGCATCATCTCAAACCTGAACTGTAGTCGAATTACATTGCATGTGTTGAGTATAAACTCTAGCATTGTATTACATATAATCGAATGCCACCTATTGTTTATATGGCAAACATTCACAATGCTAGCATGCAATTTATAAATTTAAGAGGATAATTTAAAGAATAATATTGGACAGTTATCACTAAAATAACAAATCTAAAACAATGGCTATGGACTATCTGTTGAGATTTATCCTGATTGGTATATTTGTGAAGTGTTCCAAGGTGGAGGAAGGAGGCTCATGTTTTCGCGACTTGGTAAGAATTTATAACAGGTTTATGTTTCAAATATAACGTAACGTATCTTTAAAATAAGTATGCGATTGATAAATGGTTGTTTGCTTAATGTTCACTGGCAACATTTCATGCATATTTAAGACGACTCAGTATACGCGTTAATCGTTTACTTTGGGCTTTGGTAAAGTTTTCTCGTACATTTACTGAAGCTAAATGCCTTTCCTCGTACATCTATTCATTTGATAAGAAAAAAAAATATTTCAAAACCATCGGAACTACTTTCCTGCAAAACCACCTACACAATCATGTATAATGTATTAAAATTACAAAGGATAACATACAGAACAACTCTGCATCAGATGAACACATATAATGCTCCGTGTTGAAGGCCATACTTTGACCTATAATTGTTTACTTTTTACACATTGTGACTTGGATGGAGAGTTGTCTCATTGGCACTCATACCACACCTTTATATTTCTATAAACAATAAAAATCAACAGGAAATTAAGTACTGGCAAAACGAATACCTACTTTATCATTCGTCGAATCAAACGTGTTACTAAGTTACAAGGAACCCGTTTTTAAACGTTTCTGTCTTTACACATTATTTTTTGTATACATAGTGAGGGGATTCTTTTTTTAGAGAATATATATATAGATAGTGTATTAATGAACATTTGATTTTAGAAAACAAGATCTTCGACAACCTATTGGATATGATTGTTGATATAAAGTCTGGATCCACAGAGCCAGGTAATGTTTTATAATTACGATGAATATTTAGTACCTGTTTACCTTGTATCAAAAAAGTCCCCAAAATAGTTCACTTTAAATTACCGCAATAGTATTTATATTCTAGTAAGTTGATCATAATTGTCGAATTTATTTTTTAAAATTTACAAAACTTCAATTTCTTGTTTTCTTTTCAATTTTATTTCAACTTGAGTCACTTGTAAATTGACACACATGTATTATCGTTAATAGTAAGTGTGCTGATTATGTAGGATTTGTCTATGCTCAAACTTATACAACCTTTGATGAAAAATTCTTCCCGTCAACTTTTTTTAGTTTGTCTATAATTTCATTTTTGTTTGACCATTACAGATTTAAACAACAGACCTGCCTTTACAGTAACCCTTAATACTCACCCCTTGACACTGAGCGGAATTGTCATTGCTAAGTTCGATAAAGTAATTTTGAATCGTGGCGATGGTTATGATTCTAAAGAAAGGAAAGTTCACTGCTCCAAAGTTCACTGCTCCAAAGTTCACTGCTCCAAAGTCCAGTCTTCATCAGTTTTCATTCACAATAATGTCGTACAATGGAGGACAATTGCATATAAATGTGGTCAAAAATGGGAAAACGATAATGGGTTTGTATGGTTCGAAAATCCACGGTGGGACTGAAACTGCAAATCCAGTTCTGTAACTAAAAGAAGGTGATACCGTGTATTTGACACATGGGTACTCTGCAATGCAGCAGATGCAAGGTCAAAACTATTCTCATATGTCTGGATATTACATAGGTGAATAATTCAAAATAAATAGTTATGCTACTAGTGTCTTTTTTCATTATTTTTCTATTACAGGTAAATGATAACTATGGCTTTTGGTAGAAAGACTAAATACCATATTTCAATCCAAAATTGCTTCTGAATAAAGATATATTTTATATCTACTATGGGTTTTATTACAGCAACTGTTTTCGACGTATAATGTTAAAATTTCTTATGTCTTTGTTTCATTTACTTGCTGACTTTTTTTGTTCCTGTTTATCATGCGAACTTTTGTTGATAAATTTGAATTATAAAGAAATAAAGGTTCAAAAATTCTCAGGCAAAGTTGATTGTATTTGGATTGTGCTCTTCTTTTTGTGTACGCTATGGTCATACTGCTCCGGGTGTATTAAAGCGTTTCGGATGCACTAGATTTACAATCAAAGAGTGTTATTTTCATTTGTAAAATGCATATTTATCAGAAATACCTAGTACTTTTAATATTTCCCATAAGGTCGCGTCTTTTCTGTTGCAAGTTCTATTTGCAATTACTGAAAATGTTGAAAAATCGTACTATGAACTTAGTATATAAAAAAATGGATTGATTTTTGTGTTTCTGCTGCCAATGTTTGAAATATATTCAACTTATAAAATGTCCTTGGAGTACTAGTACTTGAGAAGTATTTGACAAGAAATCATTTGTAAATTTTTTTATCTTAAACTTTATAAGAAATATGACTATAAGATGATGTGGAATGATTATCAATGCGATAACATTCCACTAAAGGTCCAAGGAAAAGGATGTAAATAACAGTTACTACAGGTCATCACACAGCCTTTAATGTTCAAAAACTGATGACACAGAGATGTCTCGCCTGTCGGCAGAAAATTCAGAAAACTAAAATCGGATGGACAGCAACATTGCTAATCAATTCAAAGTTGCTGGACCATGACATGACAGAGCGTCAAAATGATCGTCAAACTGTGTTGTACTGATAGTAATGCAACTTGATAGAAAATATCTATGATTATCACAAGTATTTCCAATCAAACTAACTAAAATTGTTTCATATTTTTCATGTCGGGGCCTTTTATAGCCGACCATACGGTATGGGTTTTGCTCATTGTTGAAGGCCGTACGGTTGCCTATAATTGCTTACATCCACTTCATTTGAACTTTGGTGGATAGTTGTCTCATTGACAATCATACCACATCTCCTTATTTTTATAAGCAGAAAACTTAACTTTGAAAATTGGATTTTAATTAGAAGTCAGTGCACCATGACCTAGGGGACAGGGCCTCGAAATAGTCATAACACTGATGTGTACTGGTAGTAATGCAACTTTATAGAAAATATCATTGATCTATCACCAGTATTTCCTATCAAAAGCAACACCTACGTCTCGCCTCCCGCAACTTTCGTTGGAGGCGAGACAATAAGGGTAAATATTTACAAGGGATATGTTGTGATGTAACACTATTGTTTCAGAAAAAGGGTGAAGGTTTGGTACCATTAAAACGTTAAAACCCGCTGCATTTGTTTGCACCTGTCCTAAGTCAGGAATCTGATGTTCAGTAGTTGTCGTTTGTTGATGTGGTTCATAAGTGTTTCTCGTTTCTCGTTTTTTATATAGATTAGACCGTTGGTTTTCCCGTTTGAATGGTTTTACACTAGTAATTTTTGGGGCCCTTTATAGCTTGCTGTTCGGTGTGAGCCAAGGCTCCGCGTTGAAGACCGTACTGTGACCTATAATGGTTTACTTTTATAAATTTTGACTTGGATGGAGAGTTGTCTCATTGGCACTCATACCACATCTTCTTATATCTATGGTAGACGATTAGACGGTAAATTAAGATGAAAATAGTTTATCAATGTTCAATGTAACATGTAATGCAGTAAATCTCTCCCATGGATAAAAAAAAAACAAAAGAAAATATTTTTTGATATTTTAAAAAAAAAATTTTCCTTCTTTAGATAAAGCCTTTACCAGTATGATCTCAAAATGTTTGGGTACTGCATGTTATTATGTAAACCAAAATGATTTTCCGAAAAAGAAAGTGTCCTTATATTCGTATGGTTGAATAGTTTCGTGAGCTAGGCTATGCTCTACTGAGTTCCAAAATATGTGTTGGTAAGTTACTTTTGTCAACCGGAAGTCTTTTTTTTTTAAATACGTTATGCCCTTTTTTGATTGAATTTTTTTACGCAACGATGTCCTGCTGAATCGCAAAGTGTATGGTAGCTATGTACATTTCCGAGAGAGAGAAAAAACCAAGTTAATCCGGTTTAATGTTATACCTTCAATGATGACAGGGGCCTCGGTGGCCGAGTGGTCTAAGTAGTCGAACTACTGTATCACTAGCCAGTCAACACTGAGGTTGTGAGTTCGAATCCCGCACGGGGCAAGTGCACTCGACTCCAATCTTAATTGACTAGGATTGTCAGTTTTCCTACCGAAGGTCGGTGGTTCTCTCCGGGCACTCCGGCTTCCTCCAACAATAAAAACTGACCGCCACGAAATAGCACAATAGTGTTAAAACACCAACCAATCAATTAATCAATGATGACAAATTGCTACAGTTCTGGCACATTCGATAAGGAATATTTTTTGGTCAAAATATAATGCAGTTGATGCTCGTATCTATCATATCTTTCATCATTAACGTTTCTATATCATGTACGAATTCTGATTTTGAATTTGTGATTACAAAATGTGAATCAGTTCATAAAGATTGGGTACAAGAGAATGGAATGATGATGTATTTTGTCTGTCGCGACATTTTATGTGATATAACACAACATCCGATTACATATGATTACGTCATCGGTACATAGGGAGGTGACTCAAACGGCACAGTTATACTATTACAATGTTGAAATATGAATAGGATTTATGTCAATCAGACATTAACCAAACAGCACAAATTACAGAAATAATTTAAGATCAACTTCAGGGGCGGATCCAGGATTTTGGAAAGGGGGGGCGTTGTATATAAAATTTCGCCAAGCCATGCAAGCGGAGCGAGTCGAAAATTTTTTTGGACCTTTTTTGGGCTAAAAAACATAAGTGTAAAATGCACATTTTTAGTGACGGTTCCTAACGTGGGGTATGAATATTTTATAGTTAAAGTGTAAGCTTGGGTTGGACATTTTTGATGCCGCATTCTCCCCATTAATTGTCTATTATAAAATGATTGAATGGATCTAAAGCCATGTACTAATATATTTGATGTGGGATTTGTCAGTAAAAAATGGACATGGCTGGGGCATGTGGGGTTAAATATATTTTCGTAGGTAAATAATATTGTCGTGGAACTTTTTTTTTCATGAGAGTGTAATAGAGTATTACTTTCTGTTGAGTGGAAATATGAAATATGAAATAGAAGTCAATATGTTCTTGCTCAATCCTTTGTTGCTTTGAAGGTGTCATGCTTGTCATCCTCCGCCTAAGCAATGTGTTACTGTAATTTGAATTTCAAAATGACTGAGTGACGTTTCAAACGTACTGATCAACTCCACCGTAGCGAAACACATGACTGACATAATCAATAATATATTACAGTAAATACGACCGAAAAATATCTTTATAAGTAAAGAATTGTCGCATAAAAATTAAATACACGACCGGGAAATGGCAAAGTTCATGAAGTCTAGTCCGATTCATCATTTTACAAAAAAAAAAAAGTTCAAGCAAAAGGGGGGGGGGGGCGTACACCCTCTACGCCCCCCTCTGGATCCGCCACTGAACTTAGTGTATTCAACAATAAACAGGAGTCTACTAAATATGTCAAGGTCTAAACGGGTATCACCAGATTCAATGTAAGAACAGAGTAATGACGTGATAGAATGTATGTTCTAACTAAAACTTATCTAAATGTTGCAGTTGGCCTGAAAAAATAAATCGTCATAAAAAGGGATGTTAATTTAGCCCCAAAGAAGTAGCTTTTGTGAAAGGCGTTGTATTTATGAGGGAAAAACTATTATAGTACTTGTTGCAACATTAACATAATATGCTGATGATGGCAGAATCCCTTTCTTCATATAAGGATTTCCTTTTAAGAGCATTGTTAATAGCTAGGAACTTCTGAAACAAAGGATCAAATGGTGGAAACAGTATTGCATAGTATCATGTTGCTGAATCAAATGACAATTGCGAAAAATAATATCCCCAGTTATTCTCGAAACCAAAAAGAATTGGGAATCCGAAACTTTAAAAAGTACCGAATCATTAAAACCAAAACAGTAGTGCAAAAATAAAGGGAATTGTATCAATGCAAAAAGACGGTCCTTCATAGCTTAAAAAACTTCTAATTTTGACACTGCAAAATATTTGTCACAAATATCGGAACATTCTTGCCAGTACAAAACAAAACTGAGTAACTGGTCTATTAAGATCCACCTAAACAAAAATAATTGATCAGGGCTATCGACCCAGTCCGTGACAATTATGCCATTTAACAGTGGCAGTTGCGCCATTCGACAAATGTTTCAGTGCATGATGATCAAAGAGCTGCATTAAACAACAAAGTAGAAAAAAGTAGACCCAAAGCAGAAAATTTATTCATAGAGAAAATTTGTATCATCACTGAATAGCTGCATAAAACAAAAAGAAAATACAAATGTTATATATTAGATCTGTTTAATAAAATCGTTTTTAAGGACGAACTGTGTTACGGTATATCTCCACTCAACCAAAAAATTCCCAAAACTATCTCCTTATATAGTCACTGTAATAACATCACTGCCAGCAAGCCACACCATAAACGTAAAGTTTCTATGGCTTATATCTGTATATTTAATACTGTTATTTGTTTGCAATTCTATGTAATAAGTATAATCTTGTTATAACTGCTTTGTCATGATACATGTAAAACATCTATGTCATGAAAGTAAATATTCATGTGCCCGATCTGGTGATTTGTTAACGTTTGCTATCTCAAAATCGATATCAAGTTTGTCTTATGATTTTACAAAGGTTAAGTGTTATCATTATTATTATTATAGCTACTATAAATATATCATTGAACCATGTGATAATATTTCCCACGTGGTCTTAAAAGTTGGAAAATTTAAATTGTTTTTGCCGAGACATTATTGTTCAGTTGTTTAGTTTGGCTTTGACATAGCATCTTTGTCATCATGGAGTACAGAAATATATTGCTTCTTTTGTTGATCGGCGTTCCACAGTCATGGTGTCATCTTTGTTTGATATTCCCAGAACAAAGAGGGGCCATGGATATCACTAGGGTAAGATTTTGTATAATTGGGTGAGTTTTCTTTGCTTGAACTGGAATGGAAGAAATATTTGCATGTAAAGCATAAGTAGAGACACATTACAAGGTTAATGTGAAATAAAAAATCATATGTGTCGTGACACAACAGCAAATATCAAAAGAATTTTTGTCTATTAGAAAATTTATAGGATTTACTTCAATAGGCTTGAAAATTCAGATTCACTTGGAAGCAGGAACATAGAACCAATTTGGATCTAAATTACTAGCAAAAACCGTTGAATATAAACTTTATCAAATGAACATTGATTGAAGAAAGCCCTTGCTTGGCGGTGTTTTTTTTTTATTTAATAAACACAAATATGTGTAAATATCTCTCCAAATGGATAACCATTTTTTATGTTAATGCGTATTTTACACAATTTCCGGTTATAAATACTCTTTGATTTGCCTTTGTAATTGTTTTCATTCGAGCGCCACCGATGAGTCTTATTTAGGAGAAACGCGCATCTGGCGTACCAAATTATAAGCCTTGTTTCTTTAGTTTTTATTGCCATTAAAGTAGAGATGATATTAACAATTTAAGTAGAGATAGAATTGACCATTTAAGTAGAGATGAGATTAACCATTTAAGTAGAGATAGAATTAAACATCTAAGTAGAATGAGATTAACCATTTAAGTAGAGATAGAATTAACTATTTAAGTAGAGGTGAGATTAACCATTTAACTAGAGATGCAATTAACCATTTAAGTAGAGATGATATTAACCATTTAACTAGAGATGCAATTAACCATTTAAGTAGATATAGAATTAACCATTTAAGTAGAGATAGAATTAACCATTTAAGCAGAGATAGAATTACCCATTTAAGTAGAGATGGGAATCCATACAGGTGTAGAACGTTCTTTTTTGCAAACAGAGTATCAGACATTGCAGTTATTTTTAAATAAGCCAGACTAATTTGTATGCTAGATCGTATAGAAATATTTACTATTGCAAAAAGTTTGATTTGGAGTTAAGGCTGGACAAAATGGCTGTAAAGTCTTGTCTGATTCCGATGTAAAAAAAATGATGTTCAGAAAATCAGTTATATTGTATTGCGGCGAAGTATTGTTGTGATTAACTGGATTTCTTATATTTCATATGAAGGAAACTGCGTGCTATTCATTGATTGTAAGGCTGAGAGGATCCACTGGAAGTCAACTGCCATGTAATGAATCCATAGTTCCATAATTTGCAATATCAATATCCTATCCATAGATTTATTTCTGTTTTCTTTTGCTGATATGTTTGTGTCTAGATTGACTATTACGTTGCATTGATTACTGATCTTACACTTTGTTTTTAACATTTGAGTCGATATTATATTTGTTATATTTCAAATATCTCTTTAAGTGAAAATAATGAAAACCTAGGAGGCAATGAGTATCCTGTCAAAAAATCTAATACTGCTATTTTATGTGTTTTGAGTACTGTTTGATATTTGGTATTTGCCTTTTATTTGTATACTTTTTTGTATTGTACTTCCAACTTTAATGACAGTTTAGTACATAACATTTAATTGTCATTCATTTCAGAGTGGTAGTAGTACCTGCTTCAGGCATGGTGCTCCATGTGGAGGACAACCACCTGAAACACCAGGAGTCACTCCGTATATGGGCGGACAACAAATGTGGATAAAAATACAACAGAACTATAATCACTATGAAGTTGGTTTTCCAGGTAAGTAACAATGCAACCCATTAACAATTATTATACGACTGTAATCATTTTATTGAATTTAGCTACGCCTATATCATACCGCTAAACTCTGCGGAAAATCTCGTATCGCAATTTTGCGATGTTATGCTGCATTAGTATTCGTTGGAAACTAATTTTCTTGAATTTCGCGGGTAAAGGTGAACCACTTATTCAAAAGTTCAACGTAATACAAATGTCTGTATGCTTGTGTTCAGAATTTGGAATAATACCGGTTTTCAAGAAAAAACATTTTTTCCGGAATCCTAGAAAATTGGTTGCCACGAAAATATCTAGTTTAAAATGTCACAGAGTTATTAACGGCTTCATAATATATTGTTCCAACGATATTAGGTTTTTTTTCAACGTTGTCATGGCAAGCTTCTAACAATATCAAATATTTTATGATGTCGATTTAGAGAGCAGTTGATGAACAAATCGGATTTTCGGCATTGTTAAATATCAGCTGGTCGTCAGATTATGAACAGCTCAAAATGACTTTTGTTTTGTATATCTTCAATTTGTGCCTATTGGGCGTTTTGTGATACTCCCATCGTAGAAACCATGATATTGGCTGGTCATAAATCAACATTGCGAGACAATACAACTACTCTACTACGTATAAAAGGGCTTCCTATAGCGTTTAACGTCATTTTTCTTTCCCTTTTATAAGACATTTCAAATACTGGACTTTTAAAGTCATGTAGTCTACATCAAGTGAACTGTGATAAGGAATTTAATCATTACAGTGCATTGTCTGTACTTTTTTACTTCTTTGTTCAGTATCTTGATTGTATTGTTTTGTGAGGTACCCGCAAATATCCCAATGTGTTCAATAGACGCATTTAACAGACACAATAACAATGTCTTATTTTGTTCGTAGGATATATGGATATTGCTGTTGCTCCACTAAATAGTACTGACTTCCAGATGTTGGCATTTACACCAGATTATTATGTGCATGCGCAGGATCATCAGAAAAATTTTACAACTATAGTGGTAAATATTGTTCAGATAAAAAGCTAGCTTTCGATTACTTTCATTCTATCATACTTAAGAAACCATTTTCCCCGATAGTTTTCACGAAAACGAGGGACTCAAACTGAAAGAGATATAGTTTAGGTTGTACAGGTTGTTCTTGCATTTAGAAGTTATCCTTTACAGCTGTTATGCGGTAAAGAGGGGAAGGGCAGACTGAGGCAGTTGCCTCCCCTCTCCCGCTTAAAGCGCTACATTGTGCGATAGGGTTTTTACATTTTAATTACGACAGATTGGGGGACTGTCGTTCACGTTCTTTCGAGGCCTCCTGGTGAATAAAACAAAGATGTCTATATATGTTTATTTCGATTCCAACCATAAGAGTAATCATATAAAATACATAAATATGAAATAAAAGAGTTTGATTCTTAAAATGAACTTAAATTAACGATTGTCAAAATACTTTATTAATTAATTGAAATGGTTTATCATGATATTTATTGTAACTTTAATAAAGAAAGTTTTCTGTTATAAAATTGTTACATTTAAAGATTAATAAGGTTACGTTGTATTTTTCATTAAACAAAAACTATAAGTTTACGAACCTGGTGAATACAACAAAGATGTCTATATATGTTTATTTCGAGTCCAACCATAAGAGTAATGTTTGGTCCCTTAGGGTTTCCTATTTTCAACACTAAGAACACGTGCTGATTGGACTCGTTTTATTCACCAATCAAAATGCCTTTTAGAATAATTCATTTTATGAGAACAGTTTCTATTGGTTAGATCTCTCTTATCTAATTTACATTTTTACATAATTTGGGGTTACTATTTTAAGTTACTTAATACATTACTTTTACGACCATTAGGGGAAATCCGATTAGTTGGTTAGATCGAATTCTAGGTGAACAATAGAAAAGAATTAGATATATTTGCTAAAGGAAATACTTCTAAGAGTTTAAGCTGTCAAACCTTATTTATATTCTAAGTGTCAAGTTTAATCAAATAGGAAGAATTTCACACCAAATACTTATATATTAAAAGTTACATAACATTATAGACACTCTTATTATATCTTTTTATACAAAAACTTTTATACAAGAATTGGTTATTTTCTACAATTATATGGAAGATTCACTTAGTTTTATATGAAATATTAAAATTTATTTCTTTAAATATTTTACCTCAATTTACCACCATTATACAGCCATACAGTTATATCACAATCGATGTTATTTAAAAAAAAGGGTTTTTAACTAAAATAACAGTATATGCAGATTTGCACGTGTGCTTAGATCTTTTTTCTGCTAACATTGTATCATATTTCTGATTAGGAAGGACATTCTCTTTAGACTCGTTACGATTTAGATCTTAACAGTTACATATTGCATAGACACTTATCTTAAAATTGAGAATGGAAATGGGGAATGTGTCAAAGAGACAACAACCCGACCAAAGAGCAGAAAACAGCCGAAGGCCACCAATGGGTCTTCAACACAGCGAGAAAATCCCGCACCCGGAGGCGGGCCTCAGCCGGCCCCTAAATAAAAATGTGTACTAGTTCAGTGAAAATGGACGTCACACTAAACTCCAAAACATATGAATGAACTAAAATTAAAAAACATACAAGACTAACAAAGGCCAGAGGCTCCTGACTTGGGACAGGCGCAAAAATGCGGCGGGGTTAAACATGTTTTGTGAGATCTCAACCCTCCCCCTATACCTCTAGCCAATGTAGAATAAACAAACACACAGCAATACGCACAGTAAAACTCAGTTTAAATGAAGTCCGAGTCCGATGTCAGAATAGGTAACAAAAGAAACTAAGCAAAATGACAATGATACATAAATTAACAAAGGACTACTAGCAGTTACTGACATGCCAGCTCCAGACCTCAATTAAACTGATTGAAAGATTATGTCTTCATCATATGAAAATCAAGCACAATCCCTCCCGTTGAAGACAGTATCCTCTAGATTCTTTCAGATGTTTTATTCAATGGGTTGCTGTCTTATTGACGTATAATACCCGTCTCCTTTTATTCGTATACGAATATATACATTTTTACTTTGACAATGGTTAACAAGTTTTTTTTAATAGGGAATAGACCTGGTTAACGCTAAGGTATAAATTACTCTTGTAATCAGTTTCGCGTTTGTAATTCAAAGTTTCATTTATAAAAGCATTAATATGACGCAGAATTATTTTTTTGTTAATTAAAAGCTTATAATATATTTACAAACATTTTTGACACAAACGTACCAGTGTTTAAAAAAATCCTAATGGTCTCTTTCAAGTCAGATTTCATATGTATTCAAAACTAGACAATTCGCGTCATGGATTTTCATTAATATTCAGATTTTTTATCCAACATTTGGGAAATGGATTATTTTTTTTTGTGCAGTGTTCAACACCAAATTAGCATAGCCCTCATATTAATTGTTTTTTTTTTATATCATTCAGTGAATAAATGTATAAATTTATGTTAATTAAAAAAAAAGCTGCAACAGCTGGTTTGTTATACTATATCATAGAAAATATGATAAGGGACCTTTTGGCCCGACTAAATCAAACACGAGTTGTTTTCTTTTTTAATTACCACTTTCTATATTCTAGTCCTAACTAAGAGCTAATAAAAAGAAAAGATTCCTGTTGCACTGCCATAATGGCATGATGGAGCAGACATCACTAATTTCTTGATTCGTACCACGGTATTTTGTACATGTATTATCAAAATCATTGATTCGTAAGGACTGGTCGTGGCCGTCTTACGAAAAAATAGAAAATCCTTTAATCGCCATCAGATTTTCAGTGGATTCAGTGGTGGACATTCTGAATGACATTTCAAACCAACTTAGATGAAGGTTTTTACAACTTGTCGATGTAATACACATGATAATGTCACGGAACGTTAACTTATCAATGTTATTCTGTCATGATATATTGAAGCGAGTCTATACTTATATGTTTTTTTTTCTGAATGTTTGAAGTTTTTCTACCTATGATACCTTTCCAAGAAATTATGATGTTAAATATAATCTCATATCATTCTAGAAAAATAAACAACTGCTACCGTACCAAATTATACAAAAGTTTGGTTTTATTTAAGAATTGAATGCTTCTTTTTGTAATTTTATTGTGGTGTAAAAGTGTTGACCGAAGCACATTTTGTATGAAGCGCGGAAGCGCTTCATTCTAGAAATGTGCGCACGATCAACACTTTTACAACCCTATAAAATTACTAAAAGAAGCATTCAATTCTTATAATTACATTTTTATGCTAGGGTCATGAAAAATCGATTTCTATCATTTATTTCTTTAATTAACCTGTGCACTTTATTGTGATGGCACGTGTCATCATGAATGTTACACTTCATTGGGATATGAAGGTTAATTTTAGTATGACGCGCAAGCGTTGTTATCCAATCAAAATAACGGATTCTTCTGAAACATACATGTAATGTAATTATATGAAGTTAAATGAGTGCATGCAGAAAGGACTTGCATGGTGTCACGAATAGAAACTGGGTGTATCTTGTGACTGGGTGATGTGTGTTGGCCTGCAACCACACACACACAATAAACAATACGACGACTCGAGTCTGCACCGACTCTAACTCTGGGAACTAACTCTTGCAACAAATGACGACTCTAGTTTCCGCGATATATAATTTAATAGTTCAGCATGGAATACGATTGTACAGAGTTGGAAATCCTTTGTGTAATACTAAATCCAATCTGCCATATCGGAGTGATAAAACAGTTTATATAACAAAACAAAATACTTGAAAAGACTTGACAAATATTTCTCTAAATAGAGGTTTCCCGATTTGTTACCGTACCAACCGTAGTACGAAATAGGAGCCGTCATTGAAATTTGAAAATAATTGATATAAACACTTAATATCAACGTTTGTTTTATGAATCTTAATCAAAAGTATTCGGAGGATTTTTATCTGGAACTTGATATTAATTTTACGTGGATATTTTTCGTATTTATAGCAAATAAAATTGTGTGTACTCGATTATGCTTTCAAGCAACCGTTGCACGAACGGTTTCTGACGTAGATTTATTTCCCCTGAAATCGCAAAGGCAAAAAGAAGCTAAAATATAAAGCATTTATATTCTATCAGATTTTTCGCCTGTTATATTATTATAACAGTATAAAATGAATATGTTGGATTTTTTTGGGTAGGCTTTTAAAAAACATTAAAAAATAAGATGCATTTTAACATTCAAAATTAACATCATTAGTAAATGTATTAATGATAAAATAAGTATAAAACTATTTTGAAAAGAGTAGAACCTGTTTCATTTTTTTCAGATGGGCTAAAACAACAAGTGGGTTCGCGAAAAGTATAGTACAATATAATTTATTATCAACATAAAAAACAATAATCAAGTATACATACAAAGAAATGAAAAAGCAGTTAGAACATGAATGAACTAAACATATAAATATAGATATATTTTATATGTTGGGCCTCATGGGCCTGGTCTTTCACCGAAAATAATGAACCATGCAAGTTTATTTAAAGATGTAAAGATCAAAATTAACGACTGTGCAAGTTTCTAAAAGATTGGCAGAAATACTCATATACCATAAAGGTGATAAACCATTATTTTAATTAAATTGTCAGTATCAATGCTTCGCATTCTTTAATACGATTAGATATTGTCACTTATTTACGTTCAACTTTTAAAATATATTTTATCTTTACCGTTCTTATATTTTTCTGCATTTTCACACAAATCGTCTTGCACATGTATGAGAAATTTTACAAATAATAAAAGTATGATGTCGAAGAAAGGATCAAATTATATGATACGCTAATAAACTATTAAAAAACACGAGTGTCAGTGCAATTTACTATAATTATAAGATGATGATAATGATGGATGGCTGTTTAACGTCCAGCGGCAAATTAAATGCATATTCAGGACGAGAACATGATAATGTATTATGAATATTAATCCCTGCTTTGTACTAAACCGACACGCTGAGCCGCATTTTTA